CTGACAGGAGCCTCACCATGAAGGCTGGGCCCCCTTTAAATCTCTCCTGTCAGACGCTCCACAGGCAATCTCCCTTTCTCACAGTCAACTGTGCCACGCAAGCCCCTTCCTATGTGAGAAATGTCCATAATCTACAGTCCTGGGACACTATGGGACAGCAATTGTTGGGGGCATCTTTGAATCTTGCCTACCATAAAGATAGAATGCTTTCCTCCTAAGACTGGGGACAAAGCGAGAACGTCCCTCCTACGTCTACTCAACACAACGTGGAGGTTCTAGCCCTGCAGGAAGAAAAGAAAAGAAAAAGAAAGTAGCCAGATTGAGAGGAAAACGTCAGGTTGTCTTTAATCACAGACTGCATGTTCACCAACGGGAGCAGGCCGTGGAGTCCACCCAGAGCTGCTTGAGCAATCAGTGACTGAGGTTGCTGGGCTCGTGGTCGATATGAACGACCCCTGTGCTTCAACGCATTGGCAACATTTTATGAACGGAAATTGAAAAGAAGTGATTAAGACCATTCACAATAGCACCAAAGCTCAAACACCTAGTGATAGATCTAACAATTATGTGCAAGACCCATATGGAAAGAAAGAACCTCATAGAAGTTTCAAAAAGGTCCGAATAAACATATTATGAGTGTGAAGTGAAGGACTGAATGTTAAGAAATCAGTTCTTCCTAAATTGACCTATAGATTTAATGCAATCCCACCTGAAATTCCAAGAGGTTGTTTTTGTAGAAATTGATAAGCCTACATAAAGAAACACAAGGGAATCTATATGACTACAAACAACTCTGAAAGAAGAATAAAGGAGGAGAACCAACATAAACTGATTTTAAGACTTATCAGAAAGCTACTGTAAAAAAAGACAGCGTGGCATTGGCGTGACGGTGAGCGACAGATGGATGGAACTGCACAGAAAACAACAAACTAACCTGGGGTTTTTTAATCCTAGGGATTGAACCCGAGACCGTGTGCACGTCAGGCAGATAGTCTACCTCTGAGAGATATCTCCAATCCTTTATATTTTTTATTTTGAGACAGAGCCTTGCTAAGTTTCTGAGGCTGGTCTTGAACTTGTGATCCTCCTGCCGCAGACCCCCAAGTCACTGGGATCACAACTGTGGGCTGCTGCAACTGGCTCAGTTGATTTCTGATAAAGGTGAAAAGGCAATTACTGGGGAAATACAATCTCTTCAACAAATGGTGGAAGAAAAGCTACATGCCAAAATATTTCTTTTTCATCCATACATTGTTCCCCAAACAAGAATTAATTCAAAAGGAATCACAGATTTATTTATAAAATAAATAACTATAAAACTTTTAGAAAATTTAAGGGAAAATATTAGGATCCTATGCCAGGTTAAATGTTTTTAAAGATGATACCAAAAGCCTAAGTTGATAAATTGTACTTTATCAAAATTAAGAACTTCTGTTCTCTGAAAGACATACTTTTTAAAATTTTTGTACTGGGGATTGAACTCAGGGACATTCAGCCACTAAGCCTCATCCCCAGCCCTATTTTGTATTTTATTTAGAGACAGGCTCTCCCTGAGTTGCTTATTGCCTTGAATTTGCTGAGGCTGGCTTTGAACTTGCAATACTCCTGCCGTAGCCTCGCCAGCTGCTGGGATTACAGGCATGCGCCATCCCACGCAGCTTGAAATACACTCTTTTTTTTTTAAAAAAAATATTTTTTACTTGTAGTTGGACACAATACCTTTATTCTATTCATTTATTTTATTTGTGGTGCTGAGGCTAGAACCCAGGGTCTCATATGTGCAACGCAAATGCTTTACCACTGAGCCACAACCCCAGCCCTTGAAATATACTCTTAATAAAAGAGTGTATAAATACACTCTTAAATTACATATCTGATGAAGAAATTGATCTAAAATGTTTAAATAGCTCTCAAGCTCATCAAAAAGGAAATACCCCCCCCCCCAAATGGGCAAAATAAGATAGGTACGGTGGTGTATTTCTGTAATCCTAGCTACTTGGGAGGCATTTGTCCTTCATTTAGTCTGTCATTAAGAATTTCTTTTGTGGGCTGGGGATGTGGCTCAAGCGGTAGCGCGCTCGACTGGCATGCGTGCGGCCCAGGTTCGATCCTCAGCACCACATACAAACGAAGATGTTGTGTCTGCCAATAACTAAACAATAAATATTAAAAAAAAATCCCTAAAAAAAAAAAAAGAAAGAATTTCTTTTGTTTTCTGAACTTCTACTTGAACTTCTACTAGGTGCTCCGTGGCCAATACAATGACACATGTCAGTATAAAAGAAACACAATTATTTTCTCATAATATCACAAATTCTGGGAAATTTAGCAAGATCCTCCCTCAAAATAAAAAATAAAAAGGGCTGGGATGTTACTCAATAGTAGAGAGCCTTGGATTCAGTCCCCAATATCACAAAAATAGATGTATAGATAGATAGATAGATATAGTTGGAAATTTTAGCATTTCCCACTCTGGAACTGATTCAAACAAGAAGAAAAGATTCAGTAAAAATATATAAGGCTATACATAATTTGAACAACAGTATTAATCAACTGGGCCTAACCTCCACTTACAAAATGCCATTCATCACAGAGTTAAGGAATGAAACTCAGCCATCAGCACATGACATGCTCTAGGATCATGGGATGGCTCTGAACTGTGCCTCAGTACATCTACAAGGACTGACATCATGAAGTGTACCCTCCTCAATTACAAAAGAAGTTAATTGGAAATAAGTACCAATTGGGGCTAGGGTTGTAGCTTACTGGTTGAGTGCTAGTCTTGCATGTGTGAGGCACTGTGTTCGATCCTCAGCACCACAAAAATAAATAAATAAAACAAAGATATTGTGTCCACCTACAACTAAAAAATAAAAAAAGTACCAAAACACGAAAAGATACCCAGATATTTAGATATTAAAAACACCCCATAAAGGTGAGAATTTGCTTCCAGCCACTATGGAGCAATGAGACTGAATTTACCTTTTTCCCTTAAAATACTGAAAAACTGGGTGTAATATATGAAACAATGGCTTTGATTTTATGTTTCTCTTCCCCGCCCCCCTTTTTATGGTATGGGGGATTGAACCCACTTAACCACTGAGCCACACCCCCAGGGGCACTTAACCACTGAGCCACACCCCCAGGGGCACTTAACCACTGAGCCACACCCCCAGCCCTCTTTTTGTATTTTATTTAGAGACAGGGTCTGGCTAAGTTGCTAAGGCTGGCTTTGAACTTGCCACCCTCCTGCCTCAGCCTCCCAAGCCACTGGGATTACAGGTGTGTGCCACTGTGCCTGGCTCCTTCCCTCCTTTCTTATTCCTTGTTTTATTTTACAAAGCATTTGGGGAGCATCTTCATATGTTTGTTTCACTAGAACAGAATCTCCCTGAAGGGGGCAGCTGGGTCTTGTGTTTGGTGTGTCATGTGGCCTAGTACATGTCCCACGTGTTGCAGTATTCAACTAATGTTGTTAAATGATTGTCAGTCAGGTCAGAATCATGACCTCACTCAACAGCATGTAGACTCTAAGGTTTGTATATTGCTTTTGATGTTTTGTTATTTCACTCGATTCTCTCAAGATTTCTTTGTGGTAGGGGCTGGTTTATTATTCTCATTTTCCATGTGGAAAATGTGTGAAGAACCATCTCATATATCCCACACCTGGGTGACTCTTCCAGGCTTGCTGATTATTGTGAAGGTAAAAAGTTGGCATTTGTTCTTCATTTAGTCTGTCATTAAGAATTTCTTTTGTTTTCTGAACTTCTACTTGGAAGCAGCAGAGGGCGCCTGACCACATAAAAGATAGTCTAAAAACATTACACTGGAGAATCCATTGTCAAAAATGTGAATATCACTAAATTAGGGGCCTGTATTTAATCCTTTTATTATTTCAGGATTCTGATCTCACTTTAGATGTTTCATTCTATTCCTTTCTCAGTAATGAGAATTTCAATCTCACGTAAATCATCATGACGTGTAATCCAAGAGTCTTCCAATTTAGCTTCAAGATTCTTTCAATTAATAAAAGTACTAAACCCTGCATCATCCAGACCCTTCTAAATCTTCAATACAGACTACACTCTTCCTTTTGCAGGTATTAAGAGGGGACCACTGTAACGCATTGCCAACAGACGTGCTGTAACCGAAGGGCTAATTTGCTTCAAGTGCATTGCCTTGAGGTGACCCAGTATTCTCAGAAAGCATGGAAGGATTAGGTGTGTTCTCCAAGTCACAGCATACTAGAGGGCATGTATGTACTGTTATTCCCCCAGGCAATGGTGAGGACTCAAGTCTTCGGTGGTTCATCTTAGGGATTATATTGCGGCTGAGGTCAGGTTTTGTGAGTTCTCCGCAGCGCCCCACATCACTCGTGGAGTCGTGGAAGCCTTAGTCCAGCTCCCCCTTTCTTCCTATTGTTTTCCCAAATCTCATATTCTTCTGGAAGGACTGGGTTTCACCGCCCTTCCTCGGCTATTCAGTGTTAAGTGGCCGACTGGATCCAGGGCTGAGTCCTTTGGCAGCTCACCCACAAAGGAAGAAACCAGGTAATTCCCTGACTCGCGCTTTCCCTTTGCCAACTGTCTTGCGTGTCCTTGTCCTTAAGTCGCCCCATTTCCTTGATCACAGCCCAAAGACGACACCCAGGTGGAACTCTGCTCTTCCCACCGCCATTCCCGACCTCCTCGGGGTCACACCCTAGAAGGTTCCCAGCGCGGGGGGGCTGATCAGCTTCTCGGCCTCGACCACCGTCGGCCTCAGGGCGACAGCGCCAGCCCCGCGCGGCCAGCGGGACGGCCCGGTCCCCGAGGAGCGCGGCAGCCCAAGGCCCGGCCCGCGGGGAGAGAAGGGCCGCCCGCTCCGGAGGCGCCAGTCCGCGGGGCCCGAGGAACCCTCGCGCAGGGTCTCGGACCTGGGCGGACGACGGCGCCCCGCCTCGAGCTGGCGCTGCAGCCCCGCGCCGGAAGTGGCGGACCCACCGGAAGTGACGCCATCCGCGCGCGCGGAGCCCCGCTTCCGGCCGGCCGCGCTCCTTCCCTGGTGTGCAGGTTTCCGTGGCCGCAGCGCCATGGGCAAGAAGGGCAAGAAGGAGAAGAAGGGGCGCGGCGCGGAGAAGACGGCCGCCAAGATGGAGAAGAAGGCGTCCAAGCGCTCGCGGAAGGAGGAGGTGAGCGGCCCGAGCCTGGGGAGCGGAGGGCCTGGGCCTCTCCTCCTGAGGGGCAGGAGGTCCTGCACCAGCGCCCAGGAGCGAGCGTGTGGGGCCAAGTAACCGGAGCAGCCTCCGGAAATGTCGGGCATCCCGCCGAGTGGACGGCCACCCCCTGCCCTCCCTCCCCTCACCCGGGGACCTCAGTGCTGTCCGTGGGGTAGACTTGGTGCTTTCTGTTGACCTGTGCTCAAGGCCTCCCTCACTGAGGTGGTTGTCACGGCCGCGGTGTGGCGCGCGTTTGTGGCGTGGCGGGACTGTGCTCTCTGGGCTTTCACCCTCACAGCTGCCTGACTTAGGTAGCACCGGCTCTTCCCCTGGACAGTTGGGAAGCCGGAGACAACAGGTCACACGCCCTTGAAGTGGTGGAGAGCTGGGATTTGACCAGATACTCCCAATCCCGTCCAGAGCTCTTGGCCACTCCTTCGCACCTTTCTCCTTAAGATGCTCATCTCTCCATTTGCTCATTTGTCACATAATGGGTTGGTCTTTTCCTTTCAACTGGCTTTAAGCTCTAATCACCTAAGGTTCCTGACCAATCAGGTGCACAGGCTGTGCAGGTCTGGGTTGGGTCTCTCCACTGCTACTAGCTGGACTGCCTCAGAGGAGCAGGACTTTCCTGCCTAGAATCAGTTCATCTGTGTGACCTCTGAAAGCAGTGCTTGGTACTCAGAACTTCATCTTTATACATTTTGCATCTCCCAGTTGTGCTGGGACTTAGATGATGATACCAGTATCTTCCACAAAGAGAGCGCTTGCCCTCGGACATTGCACGCAGTCTTGATTCATTCTCAAAACAAACCCTTGGGGTCACTGGTCAGATGATCAGGCCAACCCCACAGAGGATGATCTCCCTGTCTTCAAGTTAGTTGTGCCATATAACACCTCGTTATGGGAGTGATGTCCCATCATTTCACAGTCCTGTAGATCGTCAAGAAGGCAGGGAAGTCTTGGAGGAAGCTGGGAATTCTGCCGCGGAGCCCACATGCCTGACCACCTGGCTGATAGCTTGTCTCTGTCCTGGCCTCTGACACTTCTCCAACTTCCTCTCCAGGCTAACTCCTTCAGCCCTACCACCTTTATTTTGATGTCTCAATTGCACCAAGTTCTTCCTGATTATTATTATTATTTTTTTTCTTCCTCACCTCTACCTGAGTCACATTCCTCGTGATTGGCTCTTTTTCGTCTTACAGCTTATCATCATCACCTGGAGAGACTCTCACTGACTAGACTATCTGTACCACCCAGCCCCTGCTCCTTCCTGATAATCAGGAGCCTCAGCCGAGGCTAAGAGGTGCTGCCAGAGTAGTAGGAACAAGTGCTGCTGGTGAGGGTTCAGCATGCAGGCATGTGGTGGGGCTGCTGGAGAACTGGGGAGTGGTGGGAGATGCCCCACCCTATCCTTATGATTGGTGACACTGCCCCTCCCAGCTGTACACATTTTCCTATGTCTGGGAAATCCGGACAAAGCCTGACTCCCAACAAGAGGCACAGTGGGACTCCTTTGTCCTTATGTGATTGGGTTACTAACATGGGTGGCCTTGGTCTGTGGGGCACAGTGCCAGCTGCACACCAGGGCTACTCCCTATCCCACCCACTGCCCTCTTTGCAGCCCATTCCTTCCTCATCTTCCAGTAATCCCTTCTTCTTCCAGGTCTTCTATAAACTTCCATTTGTTCAGTAAAATGTCTTGAGTATAGAATGCAGTATATTTTGTCAGGGACGTGGTGGTCCTTGGATGGCTGCAGATAACAGCCACATAGGAGCAGAACCATGGGTGCTTCCATGGCCTGCTGGTGAGCATAGATTGGTGGAGCCACCTTTGGATTCTAATTTGTCTGTATCCAGGAAAGTGAATGCTTAGCTCTCAGTCATATCTGAGAACTTCTTGTAGAAAAACTTCCTTCTCCCCAGGAAGACAGGCTTGAGAATGGGCATGGTAGTAGTACTTGTCAAAGAAAGGGTGGGGAGGATGTTATCTGAGTTGTTCACAGCAAATAAGCTGTGACTGAATCATAATGATAGTTTTAGTGTCTCAAATGGAGACAGGGACCACCAGAGAGAGGGCAAAGGTGCAGCGGGCCTTCGATCCTGGCCTGACAGCAGGCCCAGGAGGCTTGGTGTGAGCCACCCTCCGCCAGTATCAGCTTTGCATCGTTGATGTCAGGGTGCCCTGTGTGTATTCTCATGTCTTTAGCACAGGGCAAAAACACCTGAGTTGAGTGCGATTCCCACCCCTGCAAATCACCAGTGAAACCTCTCTTGTTCAGAGAGCCAACCTGACGTCATCTTGTTGGCGCTCAGTCTCCTCTCCTAAACGGTAGCCCCAATATTGCCTGCAGCCCCCAGTCGCCTGTGTGCTTTCCCACCTGACTCAGATTGACTTCTGGTCATCACATCAACAGATCCCAGTTCTAGCCAGGTGTGGTGGTGCATACCTGTAATCCCAGCTACTCAGGAGGCTAAGGCATGAGGATCCTGAGTTTGAGGCCAGCCTGGGCAACTTAGTAAGACTGTCTTAGGAACAAATAGAAAAGCTAGGGATGTTGCTCAATGGCAGAGCTACCCTGAGTACCACGTACCTTTAAAAAAAAAAAAAAAGATTCCAAAAGATCCCAGTGTCTGCCTCTGGGCATCATTTTGGTGTCTGGTAGGACACTGTGAGAGGAACATGGAACTCCCTAATGCAATATTACTGTGACAGTGTGGCCGCCCAGGTCTTTTTTCCAGAGTAGTTGCTTTGACAGGCGATCTGCCCTCAGTTTTCCCTAGTCACTTTGTTTCTTCCTGCAGGCAGGGCTTCCCCTCCCCTCCTGATCTTGCAGGCATAGCTCCCCATCTGTTTTCTTCACTTCCCCACTCTCCCGCTTTCTCTCTTTTTCTCTTTGTGTCTTTCTCATTCTATTTTTCAGTCCCTGCTCACATCAGGGCACAGGTGTGCAGAGGCCTCTGTGGTACTGGGAGTCAGCATCCCTGACACAGGAGGCTCTTATCAGGGCTAAACACCCTGGCAGCTGCTAACTAGAACACAGGTCTGGTCCCCCAAAGTAGTTGGCAGGCCCACGTGAAAAGGGGGGTTTGAGTCCCCCGGCATGTAAGAAGCAGGGGAATTTGAGAGCCCTAGACTCCTCACCTTTTCTTTCTCTAGGGAGAGGAATCCTATTTATTTTTCTAAACTGGGTGGCACCACAAGGACTAGGACCTCTTGGTCATAAACAAACTCTCAACGACCTGCTCTCACAGGTCCTTTCCCATCAAGGCTGAATTCAGGGTCGTCTGCCCTTTCTGCCCCTCTGATGCCTTCCCTCCATTGCCATCTCCTTAGTGGCACCAGTCCCCTCCTGTCCCTCCACTCCACCCTGAGAAACCAGCCCTGACCTTTCCTGGGAAACTTTATTCTTGGACAAAATTAGGACCAGCTAATGGGGTTTATACTCTGAGAGAAGTACCTAATGGAGAAGGAAGTCTCAGTGGCGTGTCTGTCCTTTTCCTAACAGATTTGGATTATGTGAGGAAAGATTCTGGGATGAGTTCCTAAAGCTAATTCATCTCGGCTTACCTGGCGAGATGTGATGGTAGACCTGGCTCATTGTTGCCCTGCAGGTGGGAAGCTAGAATTAGATGCTAAGGAATAGGCGTGGCTTATGGGTATGTATCATCCCCCAGGTGGCAGCGTATGTAAGGCAGGCAGCGATGCCATCCTAGGTGAGGATACCAGTGGTGTTACAGCTTTGCTGTCCATAGGGAGTAGACAGAGCACTCTGTCACCTGCTTTGCAGAGGGCAGGAAGCGATGCACGGTTAAACCTGTGAATTGTGACAGAGTCCAGTTGCATTCTTTTTTTTTTTTCTTCTTTTTAGTTGTAGATGGACACAATACTTTATTTATTTGTGTGGTGCTGAGGATTGAACCCAGTGCCTCACACATGTGAGGCAAGCACTCTGCCACTGAGCCACAACCCCCAGCCTAGCTGCATTCTTAAACGGGCTGACAGAAGGTTTCAGAAAATACACTGTCCCTCTGACTCAGCAGAGAGAGAGAGACCCTGATAGTCATGGCTTCAATCTCTCAATCAGCCCCAGATATTAGGAGAAAATTGCAAAAATTAGAACAGGGACATCAAACTCCTGTAGCTGCTCTGGTTAATGAGGCCTTGAAGGTATGTAATAATAGAGACAGGGCAGAAGCAAACTGGGCTAAGTTATTGGCTGAAAAAGAAACAAAACCCCCAGCTTTTAGCTGCCCTATTACAGAACCCTCCAGGCGACCTTAAGAAACAGCCCTCTCAGAAGTTTGGAAGTCATTGATAGCCCCTGGGGCCCACTCAGTGTGCTTACTGACACCAGAAAGGCCATAGGCAGTGGGAGTTCCCTAGTCGTCCAGATCGGGCGCACCTGGGTGGCACCCCAGCTCAAGGCCTCTGTGGGCACTGCTGGAAGATGAATCTGGGGGAGTGATGGGCCTGAGCGCTGCTGCAGCTCCACATCGATCAGGCTCACTGTGGCGGGTAGGAAAAGTAAGTCACTGTCCACCTAGAGCTGTCTCTTCTGTCCTGCCTCAGCTTGCTGGTCGTCTTCAAGCCTGGACGTTCCATGGTAGGAATAGATGGTGGACCTCAGTGAAGACCTTCACTTTTCTTCTTACTTGCAAAATGGCTCTCCAGCTGCCTCCCATTCCTATCTTTATGTTCCGGAATGTCCTGTCCTTTTGTTAGGAAAGAACCTACTAAAAAGATTAGGAGCAAGCATCTCATTAACTAGAAGCCAGATGCAGGTAGAAAAGCCCCGGTGCCAGGCATTCCTCTGGGGTGGACTCTAGTGACGGCTCACTCAGTAGAGAGACCTGTACATGAAGCATGGGAAAGAGACAGACGGAGCTTCCCACTGGGCTCCAGGTGCCAGAGGGTGTCTGACCAGGTAAAGACAGCTGGTTACACCCCTGCCTTGGCCTTCCCAACTTAGAAGTCCTTTCATATGTGACATATGTGAAAGGCTGGGTTTAGCTTTAAGGGCTCTAACCCCCAAATTGGGCCTGAAGCCTATTCTCCAAGCAGATCGAGTGATATTATCAGTACTGCAGTCAACCAGACCTAAAAGATGGCCTCTTGACAATGCTGAGGTTGAGTGGTTTGTAGATGGGAGTAGTTTTTAAAACATCAAAATGACCACCCTGGAAGTATTTGGGCTCTCTGCCAAAAATTCCCTACACTCCCTGTGTGTACTTCCCTGTGTGCTCTTCTAGTTACCACCCTCCCTGTGTCCACCATAGCCAGGCTCCCAAATAGTAGTGCACAGTGTCTTCCTGCCTTACCATCATTAGTCAGCCAGCTCTTAATCGAAGTCTTAATTGGTCACACTTTGACCTGCCTGCATCTCTCTAATAATTAGTCCTGGCAAAAAAAAAAAGTCTACCTCATCTTAAACCCAGAAGGGTGGCTTTGGTCCTCCTGTTACTTGATTCCTCTTAACTGGTGTGATCAGCTACCCACTTCTTGAAACTTTGGATTTCCTTGGTTTCTGTGACATCTATCTGTTTCCTTTGTTTTACCTTATTCAGTAAACTTCCCTGCTTGGTATTGTGGTAGGTGTCTGGGATGCAAAGATGTTATAGCCATAGATCATTCAGGACTAAGAGGTTTGGGCAGATTTCTGAAATTTTCCTACCCTTTTCAGGTTGTTTTGCTGCCTTTTTGTTTCTCAGCACTGTGTGGAAATGCTTTAAAGACACTGCTCAGAAAGGTGGAGGTTCAGTAAGCCTAGCCTTGGAGACAACAGGGACTGCGCAGAAAGGAGCTCCCAGGGAGAACAGAGCTGAGAGACTGAGTGGACAGTTGACAGATGGAGGTGGCAGGAAAGACAGACCCCTTGCATCAGAGCAGCCTCAGGGCCATAACTTGGAAAAATCTCTGTGCATTCCTTGACCTCAAGAACTGTCTCTAGTGTGCGCTCTGGGCAGGGCATACCTCTGAGCTACACTCCTGGCCTGAGACTGTTTCTGCTTTCAAAGATTGTGTTTTCCCTGAACAGATAAAGCCTGCAGGTTAAGAAGGTTGAGTGAGATTGGCTTGGATTTTAAGGGATTTGTGTGACCTTCTTGGGTGCTGGAGATTGAAGACGTTCCGTAAAGTGTGCTGGGCAGGGTGGACATCGGCAGTGCTCACTTTCCTGGGCTGTCCCTTAGAAAGAATCTGAGCTGACATGATCCAGAGAACAAGGCACACTTCGTTAACTAGGTCATTGATCGTTGTCCTGTGTCAGCTTCCTGTGTCCTCCTTGTGCTTATTAGTAGACTTTTTAAAAGTTGCTGTTTATCTGACCTGTGCTGAGGAAAGGGGTTTGGGTAACTGTTGAGGCCCATGGAGCTGTGTGCAGAGGCCAGTGTTGGGTTGGTAAGAGGGAGGTTGCTCTGAAAGTGTCTTAAGTGCTAGAAGGACATCTGAACTTCCAGCTCTGCAGAATGTGGGAACAAGGTGTGCGAGCGGGAGGAATGAAAGAGGCAGATCCCAGGTCTCAGTGCGAACAAGGTGAGGGAGTGCGTTTGAGAGGAGACTGCAGGCCGCTTTCCAGATGACTGGCCTTGCACCAGCTGTGGGGATGGGGTGTACTTGGTGCCTGCAGGGAGTGAGGGCTGGGCAGGGCGGAAGACTGGCCTCCAGAGCTGCCCAGCTGTGCCAGTGCATCAGCACCTCAGCTTTAGGTCTGCGGCCACAGCTGTCAGTAGGGGTCTCTGAGCCTCTGTGCAGGCCCTGTCCCAACCTGTCTCCAACGCTTCTCTGTTGGAGCTCATATTTTATCATGGGGGTAGGTGGGGGTGTGAACAGGACAGACAAGAGCAAGACAAAGACCAGGTACTGTTGTCATACAGGGGGCAGGCGGGGGCACCCTGGGCCTGGGTGCTGAAGTTAAGGTGGGCAAGTGCTCCACCACTGGGCTGTGTCCCCAGCCCTGTGTTTTCTGAATGTGTTCAGCCCTGTGCATTTCAAACCCAGGGAGAGCAGGTTGTGATTCACAGATGTGACTGGACCAGTCTGATCCAAGTGACCCTGGAGGAAAGCTGGCCAGGCTTTTGGCTCCATGGCAGGTTCTAGAAAGAGTCTCATGTTTGCTGCTTGTGTGCCCTAGGAAGACCTGGAAGCCCTGATAGCCCATTTCCAGACACTGGATGCCAGGAAGACCCAGGTCACCGAGACACCGTGTTCCCCGCCCTCTCCACGGTAAGCAGGCAGGCTTCCCTGCCTTCTAGTTCTGTTTCCCTCTCTCCCCTAAGTTGGAAAGTGACTTGACATGGATACATGTTCTCAGGAATGACTGAGCACTCTGAACATTTCCCATGAGCACTTGCTGTGGGTCACTTGCCTCTGCAAAGCTGGGGACAGGCTGTGAGCTCTGCTGTCCTGTAGGGGCCTGGGGGTATGGCTCAACACGGCTGCTCCTCTTAGAGTGGGTTTGAAGGCACTATAGTTGGTGGCACCCATGGGTGAGTATCACCCCCCCAAGCTATTGTTTGGCTCTGAAGGTTTTTAAAAGTGTTTTAAAACATCACAGGTGTTTGTTCTGATGCCTTTAAGTTCTCACATGAAGCTTATTAGATATACATTGCCATTTTAAGTGAGCGTATAAATGGTGAAGGAAATCTCAGGTCTCTTGCAGGATTTCAAACACCCATGGATAGAGCTGGTGTGGGCTGAAATGAGCAGGCATTGGTTTCCCTCTGGCTGCTTCCTCCTAGTTTCTGAGTGCTGATTATTTTCTGCTTCTGTCTGGGACCCTCTGCTTCTCTGTTGGTTACTCACAGAGCAGACGCAGGACATTGAGTGCATCAAGCTCTTTAGTTCCTAACCTAGGGAGGCCCAGCATCCTCATGAGAAGAGTAGGGAAACGTGTAACTGCCGAACATGTAACCTAGGCTTGTTTTGTTCACTTGAGAAATGTCTGCTTCAGTCCTCAGAATGAGATGCAGCTTGCAGGTCCCGCCTGGTGGCGTGTCAGCCTGGGCCAGCCTTCAGGAAGGTGGCTCTGCTGTGCGGTCTTTGCCTCAGCAAAGTCAGGACTGACTCTGTGCCTGCATCCCTGGGCCCTTGGGCCAGTGGCAGGGTGCAGTGAGCCCCTGAGCAGAGTGCTGATGGTGGAGCAGCCCCAGGCACACATCCTGTTGTTGTTTAGTTCATTCTGCTGGGGACTGGGTTTTATTTTTCCTTTAGTTGGTATGTTTTCTTTGGTAGATGGACATTTTCATTTGAGTGGTTGAAGCAGATTGGATATTTTTAAGGCTTCTTTGTGGGTACTGGCGCTCCTGAGGAAAGCTACTTGGAACATGGGTTGTTATTATTATTAGTTTTGATGACGTTTTAGAACTTTTTCTAAAGAAAAAGCTTGTCCCAAAAGTCAGATTAAATGCCAAGTATATAAAGTGCTGGCTGTCCCTGTGCCAGCTGGGCATGCCTGCCAGGCAGAGGGAGCTGGTGTTGGAACATATGGTGAGATGAAGACCTTGTTTGGTAGCCTTCATAACTTCTGACCTCCCTCCTCTCAGCTGTCTGTCATTAGGAACCCTTGACAGTTACAGGTTCCTAAGAAGCATGGCCCTGAGTGTGGCCCAGGTGTGGCCTAGGGCCAAGGACGCTGCACTCACTGGGTGTCTGTGCCTCTTGCTGCCTGCGCCTAGGTGGTGCCTGGGTACAGTGGGGCCTTGTTGCTACTTTCTGCTTTGGGCCTCATACAGATTCTTGTGTTAGGCACTTTGCCACAGAAAACTAAGAGATGTTAAGAGAAAACTAAACAAAACAAAACTGGGGGTGGGTGGGAAGCATTGTTCTTTTCTAAAAATGTGTCATTGTGGTTGTGTGTGTGACACAGTTTGCCGTTTTTAACCTTTTCTTCAGTTCTGTGGCGTAACTCGCATTCACAGTGCTGTGCAGCCATCTGCATGGCCGAGTATCACATCCTGCCCTGTACGAGACCGCTCCCTGTCCTGCTGCCCTGCTCGCGTTGTCTCCTGGGCTGTGGAGGCTGTTCAGATGCTGGCACCACACCATGTTGGCATTGGGGCTTGGCCTTACCTACCTTGTGCTGGTGGATGCTTGTGAGCAGTGCTGTGGTGGACATGGCTGCAGGTGTCCCCTGGAGTTTCCATCTGGGGGCTGCCGATTCATGACGCAGCTCTGGATTTAGCTTCTGAGGGATGCCAGACTGTTCCCCTGCAGCTGCACTGTTTTAATGCTGGTCTCTTTACTGGGAAATTTCCCAGACTGTGAAATCTTTCTGTGCATAATAAATCCCCAAGAGAAAAATAGAGGTTTCAGATTTCCCCAGTTGCGTGACTTTGAAATGATTTTCCCTTTGAGAAGCAGTTTCTGGAATGAGTAGTGTGGACCCACCTGGGGACTCCACTGTCAAGGATGCTGAGAGCAGGGCATTCTGCCACAGCCACGGCCTCTTGTCCTGCTTTCTACTGAAGTAGTCAGAATGTGTGTGCAGCTTCCCCAATGGCTATTATTTTGTCCTGTGTATTCAGGAAATAGAGAGTTATTGACATTTTCTTGGCAGAAGGCCCCTGGGACATACTGGGCTTTAGGAGCAGCTTCGATTATGATTTAAGGAGCTAGACCCCCAAACAGGGCAGGTCTGGCAGAGGCAGCGTGGTCAGAGGTCTGAGCTTCTACCTGCCTGCTCATGTTTTCAGCCAGTTCTGAGTGAGGTGGCCCAGACGAGGGCTCTTCAGGTAGGTGCATGAACCCGGTATCTGGCTGGTGGCCTCAGGATGGCCCCAGGGCCTGCTGTCTCTGAAGCATGCTCATGGAAAGGAGCCTGGCCTAGCATGGCGTTGCGTGGTCTGTGTGTGCTCATCTCTGCCTCATGTTTCTTGCAGGTTAAATGCCTCCCTGTCTGCTCACCCTGAGAAAGATGAGTTAATCCTTTTTGGAGGTGAATATTTCAATGGCCAAAAAGTAAAGTATACCTTTTTTCTTTTCCTCTCAACTTTTCTTGGGTGTCATTTGAAGCATAGTTAACTGAAAGCAGTGATATGAGCGTCACCTTCACAATCCTCTCTTACATCCTACTTCCTGGGTGTCAGGCCTGGTGCATCCTTGACAGTCACCAGGGCCAGTTGGGGACTGAGTGACTGCAGGCAGAGTTCTGCAGGGTGTTTGTCCCCAGCACTGCCTGCAGAGGTGGGCCTGCTTGTTCTCTGGTGGTTGCCGGGACCGCTCTTCCTTGTGGTGGCTTTTCATATTCCTACCCTTCAACCTTGGTTTCCGGTGCTGGGAATGGATCCCACGGGGCTGCGCACGCCAGGCAAGCTCTCTTCCACTGAGCTGTATTTCCAGCCTTCAAGGTGGTTCCGAATAAAAAATAATGCTAATAAGTTGTGGGGCTTTTATTTTTGAGTAGTCTAGAAAGCCCTGTGCATGAAGCAGAAAGCTGTGTTCACTTACCTCTGGCCTGGGAGGAGTTCTGTCAGTTCTTAGCCTTCTCTGCCTTTTCGTGCGTTCAAAAACTAGATTTGAGCTGGATGCAGTGGCACATGCCTGTAATCCCAGTGACTGGGGAGCTGAGGCAGGAGGATTGTAAGTTCAAGGCCAGCGTCAGCAACTTAGACCCTGGCTCAAAATAAAAAATAAAAAGGATTGGGAATGAAGCTTAGTGGTAGAGCCCTGGATTCAATCCCCAGTGCGCCAAATCAGTCAGTCTGTCCCCAAAATTTAGGCTTGGGTTTGGAGAGTGAGGGTCTGGCTGAGCAGCCAAGGCGACTGGTGCCTCAGAGCAGTAAACTGTGAGCATTTGGCTTCTGTCTGCAGGACCTCTGACTTTGTGGGAAAGAGCACCTACACAGCCCTTCTGTTTTCTACTTTCAGAGCAGTGTTCAACAGTGACATGAGATGTCGGCACTCTGTTATGAAATGGGCTGTGCTTTAGATGGTTTGCTCAGCTGCGGGCAGATGTCAGTATTCTGGGCACGCTTACGGCAGGCTAGCTCAGCTGTGATATGTGGTCGGTTGGGTGTGTCAAATGCCTTTTCACTCAGAGTGGCAAGCAAATTAACCTACAGCAAGTTGTGGGGCGGCTGTCTTGTTGTCCCTGCAGATCTCAGGATCAGCGCCCTACCTGCCTGTGTTGGTTTATAGTCCGTTGTTGGAGGGGACAAGCTTTCTGGGGATTTGTCATAGTGTCCTCCCCACATGCTGTCACTTTCTTGGAGCATGTCATTCATGATACTGAGGTTCCTCTTCCTTCTCACAGACTCTTCTGTATAATGAGCTCTATGTCTACAACATCAAGAAGGACACTTGGACCAAAGTTGACATCCCTGGTCCACCTCCAAGGCGCTGTGCTCACCAGGTAACCAGTACTGACCATCCTCCTTCCTCCCTCTTCCCAGGCTGGAGCCAAAGGTAGACACTTGCAGAGTCTGTGGAGGGCAGGTAACCTCGTGCTGATCTTCTTGGGCTCCGCTGTTTTCTAACCTGAACTCTTTACTAAGGTTCTTTGTGCTTGTAGTTCTTTACATGTGAGAAGGGGAGGTGGGGTGAAGATCATGTGAAATACCCACGTGTGAACAACTCAGTCTGGCCTGGCACATGATAGGCTAGGAAAAGGCTTGCTTCTCTTATAAGTAAGAGAACCCCATAGGCCCAAGATCTGAACTAGGTGTTGCATAGGAGGAGATGGGATACCCAGGAAAAGGGCACTGGAGGAAGGAAAATAATTATTTTAGAATGAAGTGAGTCATGACAAAGAAGTAGTGTGGAGTTAGCATGTAGTTAGCCTGTTTCTGCTCTTTGCCTCTCTAGGAAGGAGTTCCTGGGCTCCATGGGTATGTGGGTCTGTCCATGGTCCTCGCTGCAGCTTTGCCCTGAGAGCGTGGGGCTCGCTCGCTGCCCTGGAGGAAGGCAGGGAGTGGGTGTGAGGCACAGCTCTTCTGCCTGGACTGTGTCGGCAGATAACTGGCTGCACTGGAGAACTAGGAGTGAGAGTTGGTCTCCTGAGTCACTTGATGGTTGGTTCCCCCAAAGAAAACTGACCAAAACACACTGAAATGAAATTTATTTTCCATAAAGAAAGAATTAAAAAATTCCAGATGGTTAAGATGGGCCTGGCATACGAATGAACATGGTAATTTATGGGGAAGAGTCACCGTGTACACACTTTTATGAAATAAGTACAATTTCACTGTGTCCATTGAGCCACAGAAACTGTTGGCCTCCTGCTAAGCGACAGCTCCTGCCACTCATCGGTGCAGGCCTTGTAGGAGTCCACTGTGTCCTTGCTAAAGAGAGTTACCGAATGGCTTTTATCTGCCAGGCCCTACTGTGGGTGCTGGGTTGTGGCCACAATCCTTAGCTGTGTTCCTGTTTCTTGCCTCATCTGGTCCTGAGGGTGTGGGGATGGATGGACTTGGCTGTCCCTCAGCAGAATCCCAGGCTGGTGGTAGAACCCATTCACAGCATGCTATTTTATGTTGGAGTCTATTGGTTGCTGCTTCTGGCCTTTGGGAAGAGGGTTGTGAACTTCAGGTTTTCCACTTATTCCAGTTAAAACCACAAGGAGGTCCAAATGCCTGGGACACAGACTCATGGGATGAGGAGGAAGTGGGTGCTGAAGGGAAGGCCTTGCTCTGTGCTCTGAGTTGTTGAGGCCTGTACCAGGCGCTTGGTTCCGAGGCTGTGTTTGGCCTCCACAGGACCTGGAGAGTGGTGTGGTTAGTCAGCTTGAGCAGAGCTTCAGGAGTGTTAGACACCTGTGTGCTACATATACGTCTGGAAGGTGGTGTTTAAAAAGCTGTTTGTTTGCTTCTGACCAAGTACCTCAATGGTCACACAGATGATAGCTGGGGAGTAGACTCTTATCAGTAAGCTGGACAATGCCGAGAACAGACAGTGGTGAGGGAGCCAACTGTGGTCAGTTCCAGCCCAGGACACTGGGTCTCTCCAGAAGGGCCAGGTTTGTCCTGAGGGCTGCGCGATAGTTCCAACCAGACCATCAAGTTGTGTCCTCTAAAAGGAAAACACTGATCCTCATTTGGGAGGGATATCAGAGGAAGCAGTTTTAGTGTGCTTTTACAGTAAATTCTCAGACTTCCTTCTTGACCCTGAACCTCTTATGTTTTAAGATAAATTTCTCCCTCTGGGTATCTCTTAGCAAATGATTGTTTTTTCTCCTACCTCAGCATGATTCAGAGTACTGTGTGCTGGTGGTTAGGTCACTTTTAACTGGCAGTGAGCTTATTAAGAGTTCTTTGAGAAATTGGGTCCTTCTGCCAGACAATGGTCCATTCTGTTTGTTTAATAATTTCAAAATGGAAAGAACATTGAACTTGTCCTCAGTTGAAATCTTGAGGCTGCTTTGTTGTGCTGGGGCTCCCAGGGCCTCACACATACTAGGCATGCGTTCTACCATGCAGCCACGTCCCCAGCCTTGAAACCTTTGGGTTTGAATTATAAGCTCCTATTGTTAGTGCCCTAGTTAGCCATTTCATTCTTCTGTTTTTTTTCTTGCCCAAAAAGTTTTCCCCCATGTTTTTCCTGTTTATTGACTGACAGGTCTATATAATGGTCTTTACCCTGAGAGAGTTGGTTCAAGATATTTGAACGGGCCAGATTATTTGAAATAACTAGAATTTCAGTGTGTGTCTTGCTGAACTAGAGTTAACCGTGTGTTTTGAAAGCAGCACAGCTTCTTTGGTGTCGTGGGAAATCTGGGCAGGTGCTTGGCTCAGACGTCCTTGGTGCTTTTAGAAGACTCCCCATGGGTGCATGTTTCTTTTGTGAGAGCGGGAGCTCTGTATTCCTCAATTCTTTTGGGGTGACAAGTAGAGATTTTGTTTTATCATGCATTTCCTTAATAAGTAAAAAAGTAGTTTGGTAGAAGTTCAGATTTAGTTTGTCATGGTTTACTTTTACTGTGCTCGTGGTAAGGGTCTTTCTGCAGGACCCCTCATGCTGGTGTGGGTGGAGACTGGTCCCTGGGCTTTGCTCTTTAGTGGCCACTTGACAGCAAGCTTGGCTTCTTCCGCTCAACCGTTCTGCTTGTGTGGGTGGCCGTAGGTGACCACAGTCCTTTCTGTACTAGAACCTTTAGGAGATGGTGCTGAAGTTGTGAAGTTTTGGGGACATAATGACTCTATTGCCTTTTATCTAGCAACTCTGAAAGCATTCTTTTTTTATTTTTTTATTAGTTGTTGATGGACTTTATTTTATTTATTTATATGTGGTGCTGAGAATAGAACCCAGTGCCTCACATATGTGAAGCAAGCGCTCTACCACTGAGCCACAACCTTAGCCCTGAAAGCATTCTTGAAAGAAAGTAGAAAGGTTCCAGGATACTTAAAAATCTCAGCATTACATCCAAACAGAAACAGTGTTTTCTTTAAGAATTTCTTCTTCTTTTTTTTTTTAAATTCTGATTTGTTTTATATGACAAAGGAATGCATTATAATTCATATCACACATATAGAGAACAATTTTTCATATCTCTGGTTGTATATAAAGTATATTCACACCGTTCGTGTCTTCATACATGTACTTTGGATAATAATGTCCATCTCATTCCACTGTCTTTCCTATCCCCGTGCCCTCTCTCTTCCCCTCCCACCTGTTTGCCCTATCTAGAGTTTTATTTATTTTTATGTGGTGCTGAGGATCAAACCCAGGGCCTCAAACGTGCTAGACAATTGCTCTACCACTGAACACAACCCCAGCCCCTGATGTTTGTTGTTTTAATCAATCATAGTAATAACCATTATTTATCAGGTGGCTAGTATGTGCCCAATACTGTTAAAACACTTCATGAACTAGATTTCTTTTTATAGTCATGTTTGTTGAGATATAATTTATATTTGGTATAATTTGTCCTATTTAGTTTTATAGTTATATGAATTTTGAAAACACAAATATTAAAAAATGACAACATATATAATGGATATATAGTACTACAGTCAAGATACAGAATGTTACCTTGTTCTCCTTTCTTTCTTTTTTTTTTAAATAAATAAATTAATTTTAATATATTTTCATTTAACCCAAGGATTATCAATATAATTTGCAAAGAAAATAATTGTTAGATATGTCATGTTCATTTTGTTTGTCCTAATAATTCTTTGGAATGTAATGTCTATTTAACACATAGCACACCTCAATTCAGATGAGACACGTTTCAAATACTCATGGCCTCGTGTAACCAATGGCTGCTATATTCCCTCTTTTCTCCATCTTTCACTTTTGGTGAGACATATGCTATAGGCTGCATGATAAGTCCCCTGTTATGTGGTGTCTTGTTGAGTTCCTTCAGAAAGGGACACCAAAGAGATGAACTTAGAATATTCAAAAGTAGAATGAGGTGATTTATTCCTCCCGTAAGACTATTGGACTGTTAAGTTGGTTTCTTCATGCTTCATAGGTCACCTCTACAAGGTTTTCATAATGGCGCTCTCTTCTTTCACCTCCTACCTCTCCAAGGCTACAGAAGGAAAGGTGCTTCACAAAAAAGGTTGAGGTTTCCCTCAACCTTGCCCTTATCTTTATAAATACCTGATTAAACAGTTTTTACCCTGATTGATCTCTTTCATCCTTGACTCTTGAATAATGGTTTTTTAATTATAAGAAAGTAAGATATACCTCATCTCATATCACAGGCAATGTATATACACATACCAGATTAATTATATGTTAAAATATAACGTATAGAATGCTAAAACTTTAAAAAAATATATTTGTGTAACTTTGCGAAGAGAAGTGGAAAATTAAAAAATACAAAATAAACAAAAACCTGAAAAATCAGATGACATTGTAGTTAAAATTTTTATGTGTAAAAATTTATCAAAAAGGGTTGAGAGACACGAATTGTATTACCGGTCACTTTTGTTTGTTATTTAGCTTGACTTGGTTTCTGCTTTGGTTGGCTTTTCCTTTATTGTAGTTCTTCCCTTTGCAGATTTTCATTGTTTTCTTCATTTCCTCCTCGTGGACTATTTTGCCAAAAATGTTCTGTACTGCAGGCTTTCTTGCTGTAAATTCTTTTAGCTTTTGTTTATCATGGAAGGTTTTTATTTCATCATCAAATTTGAAGCTTAATTTTGCTGGATGTAAGATTCTTGGTTGGCATTCATTATCTTTTAGAGCTTGGTGTATGTTGTTCCAGGATCTCCTGGATTTCAGGGTCTGGGTTGAAAATTCTGCTGAGATCCGAACTGGTCTTCCCTTATAAATAATCTGATTTTTCTCTCTTGTGGCCTTTAAAATTCTATCCTTAATCTGTATACTGGGCATTTTCATGTGTCTTGGTGTAGATCTGTTGTAATTTTGTACACTTGGTGTCCTATAGGCCTCTTGTATTTGATTTTCTAGTTCATTCCTCATGCTTGGGAAATTTTCTGATATATTTCATTGAAGAGATTGTACATTCCTTTGGTTTGAATCTCTGAGCCTTCCTCTATCCCAATGAATCTTAAATTTGGTCTTTTGATGGTATCCCATAATTCTTGGATGTTCTGTTTGTTGTTTCTTACCATCTTCACTGTGAGGTCAACTTTATTTTCAAGATTGTGTATTTTATCCTCATTGTCTGAGGTCCTGTCTTCCAAGTGGTCTAGTCTGTTGGTAATGCTATCTATTGAGTTTTTAATTGGCTTATTGTTTCTTTCCTTTCAAGGATTTCTGTTTGTTTTTTTCCCCCCCAAGTAATCTTTCTTTCTTCAAGTAATCTCTTGCAGCCTGTGTTTGCTCTCTTATCTCTTTGTTCTCTTATCTCTTTGTTTTTGCATGTATCTGCTCCCTTTGGTCATTCTTTAACTCCCAGGTCATTTTAGTTATGTATGTTCTGAACTCCTTCTCTGACATTTCACCTACTGCTCTATCTATGGAGTCTGTTGTTGTGGTATCTTAGTTTGTTGGGGACACTTTCCTCCCTTGTTTTTTCATGATGTCTATGTGTCTTCCTCTCTTGCAGTGTAGATCCGAGGTATCACAGCTTCTGCCCTATTGTCTTATAGTGTCCCCATAGGTTACCAATACCTCACTTTTAAGGGAGAGATCAATATTACAGCACTCAGTGTGCCCAGCGTGCAGCCATATGTCAGTTACCTTCTATTTTTACATTTATAGTTTTGTCACTATAATCAGAAAGGATAAGTTTGGTTATCTTCTACCTTATAGTCAATAGGTTTGTGTCATGGTTTACAGTTTCTGATGGTGGAAGGGGGGGCCTAGAGGGCTGGCTGTGATGTTTATGAGGTAGGATGTGGAATATGGAGGTGTTAGATTATATGACTAGTGAGAGGGTGATCATAGGAAGGTGGCTGTTAGTAGGAGAAACAAGAGAGAGGCCACTCCACCGCAAGACTCCCTGTCACCTCACAACAGGATAACTGTTAGCACCCCTAGTAGAGAAACCTCTGGTGCAGCCAGGCCCACAGGGACCTTGGTGACATCTTACCAGGTGTCCTGATTGTTGTCCCTTTTTTTTTTTTAAAGGGGGAGAGAGAGAAAGAGAGAGAATTTTTAATATTTATTTATTTTTTAGTTTTCGGCAGACACAACATCTTTGTTTGTATGTGGTGCTGAGGATCGAACCCGGGCTGCACGCATGCCTGGCGAGCACGCTACTGCTTGAGCCACATCCCCAGCCCTGATTGTTGTCCCTTGACAGAAGCGGCGCTTTCCCAGTTACATGGCAGTGGCAGCCTCAAGCCTATATAGGCACTTGATATTGGGCCGTGGAGCCATGCTTTGGTGAATAAGGGACCCCAGCACCAGTGGCTGGCTCTCCGGATCTCCAGGCTGCTGGTGGTTGTGGTGGGGGGCAGGCCTTTCCTCTGGATCTTCAGACTGCCATGTCGGATTTGTTGATTTCTATTTACAATTTTTCTTTTCAATAATTCCTATACTTTGTTGTTTCCTTCCTTTCACTTTGAGTCTGATTTACTTTTTCTAGGCTTCTAAGGTGGAGGCCTGACTTCTTTCAGATGGTTCCTAACAGCACTTAAAGCTGTGCATGTCCCTAGGACATTGCCTCACTGCTCCTTGTACACTGGACCTGCTGTGTTTTGTGTCACTCTGATTGAAGTAAGGCGCTTTAGATGTCTTCTCTGACCCATGGTTACAGAGGTTAGAAGTGTGTTGTTTAATTTATGAATATTTGGGGATTTTTCAAGAGGCCTGTTGTTATTCGTGTCTAATTCTGTTGTGGAGAGCAAATTGTATGATTCAGTCCTTTCATGTTTGAGATTTACGTTTTGGCCTAAATTGTCCTGTCTGGGTGCCTGTCCTGTGCGGGTTGCTGAAGCACTTGTGTTCTCTAGCTGTTGTATATAGCGCCTTGTTAGTGGGGTGGCTGGTGGTGGCTAGTTCTTCCCTGGTCTTGCTGACTCTGCCTGATGACCTTAGCTGTTCTCAGGTTCCTTTGTCTGCGGTTACACAGCTGCCTCCTTATCGCTGGGCTGCCTCCTTATCTCAGGCTCAGGATTGCCTGCTACAACTTTTCCCTTCCTCTGACTCTTGACCTTTTTGACCCCTGACTATTTAAAGTGCACTTCTTATAAACAGTGCTATGACTGTGTTGGTTCCACATCCGCTCCCAACTCCATGGTCTTTGCTTTTTAATTGGTGTGTATTCCCCTCATCTTCAGTGTAATTACTGATTCTGTCATCAGGTTCCTGCTGTTTCGTCCCAGCTGTTCTGTATTTCTATACTTTGTGTTTCTTCCTGCCTTCTTTTGCCTTTTAATATTTCATTTTAGTTTTCCTCTTGGCTTATCAGCAGTTCCCCATTTGTTTTAGTGATTGCTCTGTGGTTTGCAGTGTACTTGCTCATCTTATGGTGGTCTGTTTTCAAATACTGTGCCACGTCTCATAAACTGGAAGAACTATGGTGGAGGCCCACATGTTTCCTTCTGTTCTTTGTGCTATTATTGACAAATATCTTCTGTGTATTTTATAAACCTTACAATGCAGTGTTACTCTTTTTGATTTAGACTTGTTTTTTAAAGAAATTTTAAAAGGAGAAAGAATCTTATGTTGATTTATTTACCTTTTCCAGCATCCTTCATTCCTTTGTGTAAATCCAGGTTTTCTGTTGGTAATGTCCCCAGTCTGAAGAACGTCTCTGGTCATTTCTTGAACAGGTCTGCTGCAAACAAGTTTTTTTCAGCTTTGCTAGAGAAAAATGTCTTCATTTTGAAGGTTATTTTTGCTGGATATGGAGTTCTGATAACAGTTTTCTTTGAGCATTTGAGAGAGGTCCTGTTTTATGATATTTTTTTCTTTTGAGAGGCTCGTGGTTGTTAGTGTGTGTGTTTATGTGTGTGTGTGTGTGTGTGTGTGTGCTGGGTGGGCCCAAGCCTTGAGCCTGCTGTGCAGAACTCTACCTTTGACCCCCCCACCCCCACCCCCACCCCAGGGCTCCAGCCTTAACTCTCCTGTATGAGGCTGCCCATTTGGCCGTTTGTTCTTAACTCGCCTGTGTGTTTCATACCTGTCTTTCCTTCCCAAGGATGCTTAGAAGATTTCTCTTTATTATTGCTTTTCCTTCAGTTCAGTTTTGCTCTATCTTTGATTTTCTTTGAGTTGCATATATGTTAGACTGTTTAATGTTATCCAGCCTGATAATCTTTCCCTCTCCCACTCTGGTTTTTTAAAAATTTCTGTTTAATTTGGTGTAGTTTCTGTTTGTTGTCTCCAGGATCAGTCTGTGCTCTGTGAACTAATGAAACATATTTCATTCTGTAGTCTGTATTGAAAAGCCCTAGCACTTGTGTGGTTCTTGATCGCAGCTTCTATTTCTCTTACGTTGTTTTCTTTTAAATCTTTGAACATAGTGTGTGTTTTAAAGTCCTTGTCTGCCAGTTCTCCCATCTTTGCCACTTTGACCAGCTGTGCTGACTAGCCACTTCTAGGGCGGTTCCGTGGACTGAGCTTTCTCCTTCCTGGGTTCACAGTTTCCTACTAGTACTGTGTGGTTAGGTGCTGGGCTTTGTGAAAGTGGCCTGTTTCCATCTTTCAACAGAGGGTGAGTATTGTCTTGAGTGGACTGTGAGAGCGGTGGCCTGATCGGTCCATCCTGGTTTGAATGGACTGACTGGACTGGGTGGTAACTGTAGGCAAGTAGGCGTGGCTGCGGAGGTGAGTTCTCTGCCCCGTGACCCTTCCCCCTTCTGCTTCCTGATGACCACCGAGAACTTGGAGCTGTCCTCTGCTGGGCCCTTCCCCGTGATGTGCTGCCTCACTTTGGGCCCAGAGCAGTGGAATTGGCTTTCTCTGGAGACTCTACTGCCAGAGTCCCCAGAGGAGCAAGTCCTGTGGGCCTCACGCCTAGAGCCCGTGTCCTCCTTTTTGTTAGCCGTGTCTAATGACTGTTGAGGAGTGCCCCTGCTGTAGCTGTTGGAGACCTTGTGGGTTTGCCCCCTGCTATCCTCAGGTCTTCTGCACTGGTTCAGCCCAGGGAACGCTTCCCATGGTAGTGGTCCAGAGACCCCAGCTTTCACTCGTCATGATCCATTTTGTGTACTGTAACACAGTATCATAGTCTGGGTAGTTGTATTAAGAACAGAGGTTTATTTCTCACAGTTCTGGGGCTAGGAAGTTCAATGCTGAGTGCCAGTCTCCGGTGCTATGTTATAACATGGCAGAGGGCATTGAGCATCAGGAGAACCCACTGTTTTGACAAAGCCCCCCTGCCATCACTGATCACTGGTGAGGGTGGAGCCCTAGGACCACAGCACCAGAGAGAGCCTGTTTTCAGTCTGTCGTGTGGATGAGAGGGCCTTTCAAAGCATAGCCACTCCTACCTTTCCATCTTCAGAAGTGAACGTTAGTGACACTCCACAGATGTTTCTGTATTACACGTGCATGTTGTAATTTCTGGGGGTAGTTTTAGGTGTGTAGTGCTAGGAAAGGGTAATGAGGATTGAAACAGCTTTATTGTAGATATTTAATAAAGAGAAAGTAGGGTTGGCTTGTGTTATAACTATTGTTATGTTCCATTTTAACAGGCTATGGCATTGTGTGCCTTTAAGTGGAAGCTCATTTTGCAGTCTGGGAGGGCATGAAAGTGTAGTGGAGTTCTGACTGAGGACAGTGTGCCTCGCAGAGGATTTCAGGATTCTTCCCCCAGAGGCAGGAGATGTTGGCTGGTTCCCAAGCTCTCTGGCCCTCTGGGACTGGCTGGCTTCTCTTGCCTGGCCTGACTTGTTGCCTTTCTTTTGACAGACTGTGGTGGTACCTCAGGGCGGCGGACAGCTGTGGGTCTTCGGTGGGGAGTTTGCGTCTCCCGATGGAGAGCAGTTCTACCATTACAAGGACCTCTGGGTCCTGCACTTGGCCACCAAGACCTGGGAGCAAGTCAGGTAAGGTCCCGGACAGGAGCCGAGCCCTGGACTTGCCCTTTTGTGCCGTGTTCTGCACGAGGGAGCAGGGCTGGTGGGGCCCTGGTTATAGGCCCCAGTGGTGACTGAGCTGTGGAGGAAAGGCTCATGCTCTCTTTGGACCTGCACAGGGAGGCCTGGATGAGGAAGGCTGCCGGCTGCCCAGTGGTGCCTGGGCTGCACTGCCAGTGTGTTCGAGCCTGTTTCCGCGCTCCTCCCACATCACCTCTGCTGCTCCTGGCAGTGGGCCCTCTGTCTTTTCCCAGGTGTGGGGCGGAAGGCAATTCTGGGGCTCAAGCATGCCATAAACGAAGCCGATCCCTTGGGTGTGCTTTCCTCAAAGGAAGTGCTCATTCTGAGTGGGGTGGGGGTGGGGGTGGGAATGTGGCGCAGGTCGCAGGGACCAGCCTGTACGTTCCTCCTCAGGAAGCTGGGCTGGTTCTGTGGTTTGCACAGCCCTGGCAGCTGGGCCTGGCAGCAGCCACTGAGAACGGAGGCTCTACCAGGCTCTTTTGGTAATATATCCTCTGCCTCCCCAGACAGAGAAAGGTGTGCCGCTTCTGCCTGCTTGGTACAGCCCACAGCCGTGTTGGCCAGGCTTCCAACAGGCCGACATTAGCACAGGGCTGAGGAGCCCAGTTGCACTTCCCTTTCTTGTGCGGCACTGGGAAAGGTTACTCAGGAGGCACCACAACCAGGAAATTATTTCATACTAAAAATTGTTTTTGCCACATATATATTGAACCTTAACTCAAATTTGTGTAGACCCAGACCATGTTTATTCTCTTTTGTTTTGCTTTAATTATTCCTTTCAAAACCCAGTTGTGCTTATTTGCTTGTTGGGTCCTTTTTTGAAAAACGTATTCTTGATGTTTAGTGCATTTTATCAGCCTCAGCAGTTTCCATCCATAACTGAAGTGGGCACAGGTAGCAGGTCCTCAAGAGCTTTCGCTTCACCTGGTAGCTCCCCTCAGGCCTACGGTTGGCTGGCACCGCTGTGGGACATGGCTGTGGTGACACTCTGAGCCATTTGTGGCATGAACATTTTCTCCTGTCTGCAGGCTTTGCTGTTTCGTTTCTCTTCCAAGGACACAGGAGCACTCTTGAGGTGTGGTCACTCAGGGGGTGGCCCTGCCACTGTCCCTCTCACCTCAGTGTGTTCCAGCAGTTGGGCTGGATTGCATCTGCAAGATATGGAGGCAGCTGGCTTAAGCCGGAGGTGGTACTAGTAAGCAGCTCATTACTTAGATGCTTCCTATTATGAAAACAGGAGAGGTTTAAAGTGTATTGCACAAACTGGGGAAGCCTTTTTTTTTTTTTACTCAGGTGAGAGTGCAAACCTTAAATGTAGCTGCCATTTTTTTTGCTCCTTGGTGGCAGCCTGCAGGACGATGGCTACTTTATGTGCTTTATTTTTTCTGTACAGATCTCTGTGTGGAGCTAGCTGGTGATGGTTTCTTGTTGAGAGCCACAGCCGAGTCGGAATGGCCCCTGGCATTTTGCCAATAGTATTGGTTGAGAGGTGAGCCGTTAAGATGATGCTGGATTGATTCAATTGTATATTAGACCTCTACTGTCCGGTAATAGGATGGCTCTTGCTGCATCGGACGCCCGCTACTTTGGAGTTCCCGTTGAGTCCTCGCGGGGTTCCGAGAGTGAGTGCGCGCAGAGCCCGGGAGAGGGAGTTCCAGTTGGTGTGTGGTGTGTTCCTGAAGGAGCGGCCTGGGTGGCGTTCGGGAGAGTTCCCGGGGAGTGTGCTGGTGGAGTTCAGAAATCAAGTTTGTTCCTGCTTGAGTGGCTCGTGATTTGTGCCCGGCCAGACCGCGGCAGTTTCTGACTCTGAGTGGCTTGAGTGTTTGCTGATGAGGGAGACAGGGAAGGTGGACAGATCCAGAGATACTGGCCTTGGTAGCCAGGGTGCGATCCCTGGTCCAGGAGGGGCACATGTGAGCATCTTGGATTGGAGCGATAGAGCTCATTTTGAGTATTAATTTGGAAGTCAGGAAAATGAGGCTCTCCCGTCCACCTCACTTGTGACTGTGGCCCGCCATGCTGGGTTTGTCTTGCTGGGCTCATGCATCCACTACACGGGCTCATCAGAATACACTCTCTCATGAATGTGAATCTTGAGAGACTCGTCTCTTGCATGTGGCCGGGGTCCATTCACTTGTCCTGCATTTGGCCTGGTATGTTCTGAAAGCTACAGCTGCAGTGCTTATAGGTGGTCCTGTCCTTTCCTTGTCTGGTGATAGACAACGGTGTATATTGCTGTGAGTCTGCTGCGGCACAGGGTGATGCTTTGTGCTGTGGCACCCTTGTGTGATGGGCAAGCATCTTCCAGACTCCGTGCTGACTGATGTGACCAGCACCCGTTCCTGTGGCATCTCCAGCCTCATGCTCTTGCCGTTCCAGTGGGTGTTTATTCATCACCTTGACAGTGAGTGGTCACTTGTGCTTGGGAGTGTGATGTGCACTGGTGTCATACCCCCATCAGAGAACCCTAGTGCTAGTGCAGTGTCAGCTGCCGCTTCCTCTGAGGATGTCAGACACATATGACTGCTTTAGCAGCTGTTGGGAGATTTCCTTCAGGCTGTCTGGAGTGAGAAGGGCCCATGGTTGAGTCGGCAGCATAGCTTCTGTGTGCCAGCCATGTTTGTCGTCTCCAGTGAGGGGAGGGAACGGTCATCAGGGTGGGGCTCGGGCTCCTGTTCGGTGGTGGGCTGCAGAGAGAGGGCCGGGAACAAGCATGAGGCTGCGTAGAAGGTCTGTCTGTTCACCAGCAGAGCAGCTGGACCCGCAGCAACAGAAAGCCTGGCCACTGGCCTCTGCAGATGTCTCTCCACAAGATAGGTGGGCCGTGGGGCCAGGGCCTGGCCCCTGGGGAGGAGGCAGGGACAGCAGGAGGCGCCTTCCCCTGCTGCCAAGTTGCTGAACAGAGGCTGTCACGCTACAGCACCTGTTCAGTGGCTTTTGTGGCTGCTTTGCTGTGTGACATGCCATAAGTGACTCCTTAAAAATGTACAGTTCAGTTGTTTTAGCATGTTCGGAGTATGCAGGCAGCACTGTCATCTAGAACATTCCCACCACCTGAAGAGAAACTCCATGCCTTTCCTCGCAGCCTCCCTCGGTCTTCCAGTTCCCCACTGTCTGTCTCCGTGGGTTTGCCTGTTCTGGGAATTGCACATGAATGGGGTCCTGCAGTACACGTCTGTTCTCTTGTGCTTGCTGTCACTGGGTGTCACACATCGAGGTCGCTCATATTGTAGCAGGTGTGAGGTCTTTGTTCCTCCTTAGGGATGAATGACAGTCCCCTGCCTCGGTGTCCATCCGTCTGTTATTGTACACTTGGGTGGTTTCCACATGTTTATATGCATCAAATTGCTTAGTAGAGGAGCAAGAAAATTTTGTTAATGTGTGTGTGTGTGTGTGTGTGTGTGCTGTTTCTTCCTGATTTGAGGAAGGATCCAGCATTTGGTCTGTAGCTAAACCCTCTGAGTGTCAACATGTTAGTGCCTAGAAAAGACTTATTAGCAAAATGAGTCGGAGGTGTTTTTCAGCCCTGTGCGGAGGGCATCAAGGCGTCTGCTGGAGTCAGTGGTGCCACATCCCAGTGTGGAGCTGCCAGTGGCACCCAGATGCTTCCCTCTGCCCAGGTGAGCTGGGTCAGCTCATGGCCTGCACGTCTCTTGGGTGTGGACTGCCTGCTACATGTCTGCAGCTGTTCTGCTGTGTAAGGAGGCTCATTGTGGCTAGAGTGTGACCAGTCTGTAGCAACACTAAGGGGGTAGAGCATGGGATATGTGAAGTTGAACATGTGTTAGGACGAGTAGCCAGTTTTTGACACATCTGCAGGTGCTGAGGCCTGAGCTTGATGGTGGTTGACACCACACTGTTATGGTCTAAGTTCTGGCTCTGCCATATACTGCCTGCTGGGCTTCTTGGCTTATAGGTGGGCCTCGATTTTCTCATCTGTGAAACAGGAATAAAGGTAATACGTGCACCGTGAGGTATAAGTGCACACAGGAGAACCGTGCCCATCCTGAATGAGCACTGTACCAGTGGTGCTTTCACTGTTAGTGGTCTTGGTTTGAGCAACACAGGGACATTATACGTCCAGGCTGTCTGAATCTGAGAGATGGCTACTGATCCTGCCTGCTGGGATTGAATACCCTCACTTGTTTGGTGGGTGTGGTGCACGAAAAGTAGGGCCGAGCTGCAGAGGAGTGCTTTGGGGAACAGAAGGGCCTGCTCTTGCACTGTGTCCTGCTTGGGCTGTCCTGGGCCTGTGCTTGCAGGGTGCACTACTGGACCTCGTTCCCTGTTGGGTCAGCTGTGTGACCTCGAATCTCAGGGTCATGATAGGAGCTGTTCCTTTGCCCATCAAAGGCCTCGGGGCTGTACTGTGTGTTTACAGCTGTGAGTTTTATCACGTGTGCTGAGTGCTCGGCTGTTTGCTTGCTGAGCCTGTGTAGCTGTCTGATGCTCAGACATCTCCTGTGAATGTCATCACAGTGGCCCAGTAGGTGGCCTGGTGACAATGGCTGGCAGTATGCCCCATGGGAATGCCATTCTGTGCACATCCCCCAATGAGCTGAGTGCTCTGGCACCCACAGCATTATGTTTGTGCTGTATATAGACATCTGCCTGAGTGGGTCACGCTGATTCGTGAGGACTCTACATTTAGGACTGACAGCAATTGAAAAGCCTGGCCTTCTTTTCTTCTCTTATCTTTTTTTGGAAGGGGTAGCTTTATTTTCCAAAGAGAAATAGATTATTCTTTTAGTTACACAGTGGCACTTGACTGCTGCCACGAAACATTGGGCTGAGTCCTTCATTCTTGACAAAGCTGGAGGCTGAGACACCCAGGGGCTTTCTGTACAGGAAGCTGGCAGAAATCAGTCCCCAGTCTCATGGGCTCTTGTGCGTCAGAGGTAACCAGCTGGCCGATGGGCCTTGGCACCCATTACTGGACGGACACTGGAAGCATCTAGGGTCTCCTCTGTGTCTGTTGTGGAGTAGACGTACCTGTGAGCACAGTGGCTTAGAGCTGAATGAAAGTCTCTTCCCTGGATCCTTCTTATAAAGTGACATATCAGAACACTTCTCAGAAAGGAACGTGGCCCTGTGCTCAGTGTGTGGTGTTCCTTCCATCTGATGTGCCTGAGCAGTGTGTGGAGGGCAGGTGTCTGCACTGTCCTTTGTCTTGGGACAGGGGCAGCTCACTGAGAGCTGGGCCTGTGCTGTGGTGAGAGCCAGATAGTTCCCAGCAAGCCTCCTGTAGTGTTGTCGTAGTGTGCCCCAGACCCTCTCTTCTGAGCCTTGTCACATTTTGTATTTGTGATTGTGAATTTTGGCAAAAAACCTGGTTACTAAATTCGTGGGTAATAGAAAGCCAGGACAGAAAGCAGGTAAATTGGTTAACAAATTCAGCATCCAAATCCATCTTCAAAGAACCAAATCTTTCAACATGGAATTTACATGTAAGACTTCTGTAAGTGTAAGATATAGGAGCTAGGCCTGAAAAGCCCCCTGAGAATAGAAAGAAGGTTCTGCTACACTGTGGTCCCCTCAGGCATCAGCAGGTGATGAGGCCCCCTGAGGGGCTGAGGCCTGTAGGATGCAGTGTCAGGAGGAGTGCTTGCTTCCGCTGACATTCTGTGGACAGCGAGGCTGTGAGATTCTGTAGGACACATGCCATTTGTGGAATTTTACATGTGCATTTTGGGGACAGCTGTATAGCGTGCACAAAAAATAAATGAGAAATAATGCATTGTAGAAATAGGTGTCAACATGTGTGATTCGGGTTGTGACTACCGCTCTGCAGCCTGGAGTTGAGCCATCTCGGGGTCAGCGGGAGGGCCAGGTGGTTGAGGCTCATCCCTTGCCATGGTCTTGGGATCGTCCCCTGGTGGCCTTGCTGGCTCTTGACAAGACCCTGCCCTGGTGTTAGCTGTTCTAGCTCTCCAGGCAAGACTCCCTGTGCTGTGCTGCAGCCTGCAGCCACGCCCTCTCTTGGTGTGAGCCAGGCTTGTGCTCACTGGAGAAGGCTCAGGAAATGCAAGAAGCTGGAGAGAAACGAAGCCCCTAGAAGCCCGTTCAGAGATGTGTTGAGTCACCTGCTTTTCCATTATTGTTTTACAAGCACTTCCTGTGACGAGAAATATCTTAATCTGAATTTTAAAACTCTTGCTCAGATGGAGGTGCATGGTCTGTCTACTTTGATCTGTAGTTCTTCAATTACAGGTTGATTATGTTTTTGGTTTCCATTATTTGTATATTCTTAAGAATTACTTGTTTTTTTCTGTTGCTTTTTTATTGCTGTGTATTTTCACATTTGTTTTATTGAGGTACAGTTACAAAAAAATGCACACCTTCTGGGTGTACAGGTAGGTGAGTGTCAGCTGCTGCAGCTGAGATGCAGAACATATCCACCGCCCCACCAAGTTCCTTCCCAGCCCCGTCCCCTGCAGCTGCCATCAGCCCCACGTTAATTTTGTGAAGCTCTCGTCTAAGTGGAGTCACCGTGGTCTGGAGCTCTGTCAGCACTGGCTGTGTCTGGAGATGTGCGTGTGTTGCCCAGAGTGTCCACCTTCCACTGCACCCTGCGATTGGGAGAAAGCCTCTGAGTGTGTGTTAGCCTTTTGGGACCCAGTTCTTCCTGGTGATCAGGAAGCCCTCAGAGTGACTGTAGGGCTCAGGCTCATCCAGTGCTGATGGGACACGTGGCGTTTCTTCTCACGTGCTCCATGGTGGTGGCAGGAAGCTGCGGGGCTTTAGTTTGCATTCCCTGACCACTAATGATATGTTGAGCGTTTTTGTATTTTTGTTGACCATTTTTACGTCTTTCTTTTTTTTCCACCGATACCTTATGAACTTCCTATTCATATTTTTGCCGTTTTTGTTTTATGGATTTTTTTCTCTGCCAGGGATTACACTTGCTGTGCAAGCACTCTGCCACTGAGCCACACTCCCAGCCCTTTAATTTGAGAGAAGGCCTCACTAAGTTGCTCTGGCCCCAGGCTTGGGACCTTCTGCCTCGACCTGGGAGTTGCTGGGATCAAGGGTGCATGCCCTCTGTCCGGTTGTGCCAGTGTTTTATAGGGTTATTCATTATAGCATTAAGATGGAATTGTGTGTGCGCCTGCTAGTGGTATCTGAAAGGGTTTTTCTTAGTCTGTTGCTACCTTGCTCTTTCCATGGTGTCTGCTTTGTTTTGTTTGATCGTTGGTCCTGGGGATTGAACCTGAGGGAGCTTAACCACTGAGCCCTTTTTATTTTTTATTTTGAGACAGGGTCTCACTAAGTTGCTGATCCTCCTACCTCAGCCTCCTGTGTTGCTGCTGTGACCACAGGTGTGACCACCACACCTGGCTCAGTGGTGCATGCATTTTGACATTCTTTATTAGATGGAACCTACTTTACTTATGTTCTGCCCAAAAAATCTTTACCTACTTCAAGGCCACAGAGATTTTCTTCTGTTTTATACTAGAAGTTATATAATAGCTAGCTAGACTGTCAGGATGGTTTTAGTAGCTTGTGATCAAATTAAATGGTACTCATCAAGTACTTAGAACAAAAAAATGTAAAATGTCGTTTTTTAAAAAGCAACTGGAATAACTCCCCCTCCCCTTTATTTTAGATCAGCTGGGGGTCCTTCTGGCCGGAGTGGACATCGGATGGTGGCATGGAAAAGACAGTTAATCCTTTTTGGTGGATTCCACGAGAGCACAAGGTTGGTACCAACAGCAGAAGTCTTTCCTGGAGCATTTAGGGGCAGACCTTTTACCATTTTGAGTAAACATGGAAAATACTGCCCTCTGAAAGCAGGGCCAGCTCTCTGGGCACATACAGCTTGGCAACCATGCAGGGCAGCTGGGGAATGAGTTGGCAGTGCCCTGATTACCTGCTGTGTGCAGGGCAAGATTAGCCAGCCCTTCCTTTTTGTTTCCAGGTTATAAATCAAGTTTTGCAGTGGTTTTAACTTGTATCCATTTTAAAATCAGAACATTTTTTAAAACTATATGTTATCTTGTTTGAAATGATCTAAGATGTATTTCAGACCTACAGAAAAGCAGTGATGCTCTAGGAGATGTGGTTTGACTTCCAAATGCCAACCCTCTGCATTTGCTTGGGAGCATTGCTCTTGCTCTTAGCTGACCTGCAGCATAGAAGTCCATTACTGACAGCGCCCAGCATGAGTAGGTAGTCTGTCCTCTGTGGGAGGCGTAAGTCTGAGTGGCAGCCAGCAGACCGTGGCCCATCCTCACAGCTGTGGTGTGCAGGGGAGTGACCCGCCTGGCACCTGCATTCTCATGCAGGATTTGTCACTTTACACATGTTCTCGAGCCACCTTGCTCTTTCCATTCCAAGGAAGAATGGTTACTTCTGACCAGGGTAGATCCTCTCCTTTGCCTCTTGTTGAATGCTGTGTCACGCAGAGCTGGAGAGCAATGTCCTGTTCTGTGACAGTTACCTAGTGACAGCAAGTCTCCTCATTCCCCTTCCAAGTTCTGTCTATGGGCTGTCTTTCGGTGCGATGTCCCTGGGCATTGAGCCAGGTGGTGCCCCAGGCTGTTCCTCGTGCCTTGCCTAGGTTGTGGATACGGACTCTGCTTCTGTCCTTGAGTTCTGGGGATGCTGTGCCCCCTCATTCACACCCCTCCCTTTCAGTCCAGGGTCTCGCCCCAGTTCTTGCCAAGCTGTGGATAGCTCCATCCTCGTGATTCAGTCAGACACCACAACTCAGTGTTGGTGTTATAGTCGCACAGAATAACCTAATGTAATTATCTGGGAGATTGCCATTTTGTCAGTGGGTAGAGGAAATGTGGTATGACTTTCAGGTTAAGTTAATCTGCTTCTGTGGGCTGGCATCATTTCTAGTTTCCAAATGCAAACTCACATGTTTGCAGTCCTTCGTATGAGTTTACGTGTGGAGCAGACAGATAACTTAGTTCAGCTTTAATTTAAATCAGGTGCACTTCTCAGTGACCTGTGTCCTCCGTGGTCCCAATGTGATGGCCTGTGTTCCTCTGTTCCACCCAGGGATTACATCTACTACAATGACGTGCATTCCTTCAACCTGGATACCTTTGTGTGGAGCAAGCTGTCCCCGTCAGGAACCGGGCCCACGCCCAGGTCAGGCTGCCAGATGTCCGTCACTCCCCAGGGCAGCATAGTCATCTATGGGGGCTATTCGAAGCAGGTGAGACCTGGTGTGCAGGAAGTAGAGGAATTTCGGTCTGCTGTGTGTCAATGTCACCAGTAATGGAAGCTTCTAAATGAGAGGATGACATTTGTTTAATATAAACAACTCTGTTGAATTTGAAATGGATAGACATAATGTCAGTCTCTTTGTCTTACCTACATTGAGATTTTTAAGTCCTTTTGATGGTCTAGTCTGAATCGTCCTAGAACACTGCAGTGTGACTAATTCTGTTTGAGGTCTTTCTCCCTAAGGCCTAGAGACTGACAACCATGTGGTATTCTGTCGTAGAACAGGCGGTGCTCGTTGATCTTCCTGGGGATCCCCCGACAGACTTTTATTCTTATATCTGCAAGCGGCACCAGCAGCACGTTCTTAGGCATGTGCACTGGAGTCCTGGTCTGTGGCGTGTGCTCCTGGGGCTGTGGGCTGTCCTCTGCCAGCAGCAGAGCTTTCTCCTGCCCTGCTGCTTGTCTGCATGGGGCCAGCCTCAACAGGTTGTGAATCACATGGCTGTTTTAAGTCCTTTGCTTTTGGAGATTCTGAAATGCACGGTGAACTTGCAGACTGCACAGCAACTACGTGCATGCCCACACAGGCCCTGGGCTGTCTGTTCTACTGAGCTGGTTTGGCCAGGGGTCTGTTCACACTCGTTACCCACCTATCAGTCATCTTCTACATCATTCACAGGAAAGTGCAAGCGCTGATGAGTACACACCATCAAGTAGAGATCGTTGGTGCTTTGTGACCGCAAGGCCACCTGCGTGTGTGATAGATGTGTGTGTGGTGTGGCCCACCCTCATCCTGTCAGGCTCTCCTGTACCCCTTGCCTCCCCCAGAGGCACGTGCTGAGCTTCTTCTCATTGCTAGATGTGCTTGTTGTGCAGTGTTCAGGTCATTGCCCCCACACCTCTGTTTCCATTGTGTTGATGGACTCCTGTGCTGTTCTCAGTCAACTGTGTGTGACATTGCATGAGCACTTCGATGCAATCTTTGTTTGTTTTGTTTTTTTTTTTTTTTGTACCAGGGATTGAACCCAGGCGCGCATAAATACTGAACCACATCACATTCCCCAGCCCTTTTTAAAAATATTTTGTGACAGGGTCTTGCTAAGTTGCCTAGGGCCTTACTGAGTTGCTCAGTGCTGAGGCTGGCCTGAAACTGGCGATCCTCCTGCTTCAGCCTCCCAAGCTGCTGGATTATAAGTGTGCGCCACCACGCCTGGCAATGTTTTAGTTTCTCTTAAGAAGTACCAGGGAGGGAACCTTCTGGGTCCCTGAGTGGAGCTGGGCTTGCAGGTTATACCCAAACCGCCTGACAGTTCTGTTGCTCTGCCTTCCCGGCACCACTTGCCTGTGGCTCCTGCAGCGTCCTCTGCACTCATGGCTCTCTGTTTTCGCCGCGTTCCTCTGACCCTGCTGCTGTGTGCCTCTCGTGAGCTTGTTGGTGTCCCTATGTCTTCCCTGCAACCAGCTCCCCACCAGGGCTTCCTCTGCCCATGAAGCTTCACTGTGGTTTAAGAGGCAGGCCCTGTTCTGCCAAGGATCAGAAGCTCTGCCTTGATGAAGTCTAGTTTGTTGTGCTTTAAGGTCTTTGCTCTCCGTACCTCAGAAGACCTGTCTACCTTCAGTGAGGGAGAGCCTCTCGTGTTTCGTGAACTTGGTAGTTCAGCTGTTGTGTTTTGTTCTGCCATTGACTTGCCCCATCTATGGAGTGTGAAGGTGCTGAGTCCACATGTGTCCTGTGGGGGTCAGCTCTTCCACACCGTCTGTCCAGAGGGCTTTCCCTTGGGATGCCTGGGGACCCCTGCCGTGGGCTCACCCCCTTCTCCTCCTCCATTGTTTGGTCAGCCCTGTGGGGCCACCCATGCCTCCTGACTGTTCCTGCCTAGCACATCTTAGGGTGGGCAGCTGAGGTGTCTAGCCCTTGTCCTTTCAAACTCGTTTTGGCTGTTCTAGGTTCTTTGCGTGTCCACAAGCATCAGCTTGTCAGTTTCTACTTAAAAAGCAAGAAGGCACCCTCCTGCCCGCCTGTTAGGAATGGTGACAAGGGTCGCTCTAGTCCGGAGGCTAACATCTGGGATGCTGACATCTCCGAGTCTGCAGCTGTTGCATGTGGATGGTCTCCATGCTTATTTTGGTTTTCTTTAATTTCAGCAGCGTTTGTGGTTCTCAGTCATACATGTCTTTTGTTACTTTATCGATGCTGTTGTGATGGGAGATCTTGAAATCAGACTTCCCAATTGTTCTCTGTTAGTGCCTGAAAACATCTTATCCTCTGTGTGCTTATTCCGTGATGTGAGAACTCACCAGACTCGCTATTTTTAGTAGTTCCAGATGCACTGAGATCATGTGAACATTCACATAATGTGCAGGGGACAGCTGTCCTGCTCTTCCTGACTGCTAACCCGTTCCCTTGTGTCTGAGGCAGGGCCTCCGGTGGCATTGGGTGAGGTGTGTGTGGTGGCCCTCCTAGCACTGTCCTCATCTGGCAGGGACAGCACCAGAGGTCTTCACAGATGTCCTTCAGGGTCCAGCTTCTGGCCTCCTGTCTGCTGGGGCCCTTCATCGTGGTGGGTGTCTGGTTTTGTTAAGTGCACTTCCTGTGTTTTAATGGTCATGTACCTGTTCTTCGTTCATTTGTCCACGGGCCACCTTGATTAACTTCCTGTTGTTAAACTAGCCTCATGTTTCTGTCATAGCCCAGTCTGGTACAGGTGTGTCTGTCCTCCCCATGTGCCTGAATTTGCTGCTATCCTGTGAAGGATCTTTGTGTCTGTGTTCATGAGGGTGCGTCTCTGTCACTCTGTCTTTGTGGTGCTTTTGACAGGTGTTGGAGTCCTCTTCTTGCTGTGCAGTGAGTTAGTTGGGGTCCACCTAATGCCTTCCTAACACGACAGGATCTGTCTTGACGAGAGATAAAACTTCTAAGATGATAAAGACCCAGCAGGCAGACAAGTGTGCAAGCAGCAGCCATCCCTTAGTGTGCCTTTGGGGTCGAGGGTCCATAGGAGGTCTTCCTGTTAAAGAGACTGGGAGGGCTTCCTAAGGCTCTGCAGCCTGTGAGCCAGCCTGGAAGAGGAGGTGCCAGGAGACCCTGGACAGGGAGGGTAGCGGTGGTACTTGGAAACAGCTTTGGTACTTCGTGATCTGCCTCCATGGACATGTGGACAGCCAAGGACAGGCCTGCTGAAGGCAATGCCCTTCTTCTTGTCTAATATGGACCTCAGGTGTGTCTGCCTGGGGTTTGGGAGAAAAGATCTCCCTCGAGAGAGCAGCAGGATACCAAAATGTCACTGGTATTGGAGTTTCTGGATGGCCGGGGGCATAAGCAGGCATTGGGGTCGTGTGACCCTAGAGGATGCATGTGACCTCAGCCAAGAAAAGTCCTGACTTCCTGAGGCCTGTGACCCCCAGCTCTGGGTGACGGGGCTCTGCCACTGTCCTAGGAGATGCTGGCTCCCGTGCTGCAGGGGACACAGGTGATCCCAATCACCTCCTGGCACACCCAGCTGCACGGCCCTGACCTGTCTGCCCTGTTCTTAGCAGCAAAGCAGGGAGTGCTTGCTGGGAAAGAGGTGGGAAGAGCATCTCTGCTTCTGGCTCCGTTGCTCATGTGGTCACTGGGCTCTGTCCCTATCGTGGAGATGGTCTCAGGTGCACTCAGGACGCCGTCCTGTGGGAAGGAAAGAGGACAAGGCCTTGTCTAGTGTGGACAGCGGGGCAGTAGGGATCCTCAGCTGCAAGGGTTGGGACTGAGTTGCCAGAGAGGAGGCGTGGGTGCATGCTGGCTCCAGAAGTCACCCTAATGTGGCGTCCCCTGAGAGCCTGTTGGCTGGATGGGAGGACAGGTCTTTGCTCAAGCAGTATTTAAAATGGAACTGGGAGACGGAGTTCTTGGATGTTCTTTCAGTCCTGCTGACTAGACATGGAGCTGGGCTTTCCAGGTTTGGGAAGAAGCTGTTTTGGCAGCAGCCTTTTCAAACAGTGCACCTGCGTGGCAGTTGTCCACATGGCAGGCCACTGCTCATCATCACCCTCCCTCATCATGTGCTCCTCCCTCAGTCCCAGTCCTATAGAGTGATCGCTCACTCACCAGCTGGGTGTCTCCCCTTGGCCTCGCTCGCCCACCTCTCATTGCTAAGGGGCCTCAGCCGCCTGCACATGTGCGGCCCTCTGAGAGAGACGTGGGACTGGCCTGAACTGCCTAGCCTGGTGAAGGTGATTGAGCAGCCACTTGGGCGCCCTGACAAGCGGGCCACACTTGCAAGGGTAGCTGGGGCCCTTAGAAGGAATGGCCTCCTTGGTTTTATATCTGTAGACATCTGTGCAGGCCGCCCTGGTTGAGGTCACACTCGTGTCCCAGGAAACTCTGCTGTCATTGTGCCTGGTTTTTAAAAATTACCACCGCATTTTGAAAGTCCAGGGGTCAGGATAAGGTTCTGATGACTGTCGTAGAATGGCAGTGGTGTGCAGGCCGGGGTCTGGAAGGCAGCTGCATCTCTGCCTTCAGAAAGAGCTGGGTGTTTGTGGAGTAGCTGCCCATGGTGATTGGGGTGGTTGGATGGTGGGCAAGTCGTCAGCAGTGCCACACAGCAGCCTCTGGTCCAGGCACTGGTGCCCGCTGTACTTCCCAGCTCCGCCTGTAGGTCCCGTGCTCAGCTCTTCTCCCATCAGGCCCTGAACCCTAGTGCTTTCTCAATCTTGGACCTTCTCCTTTTCTGCTGTGGCCCGCTGGTTCTGATGTGCCTGTTGGGACTGGCTGAAGTGGCCTGTGGAAAGCAGGTTCCTCCAGGGAGCACGTCCCTTTGCCCTCCTCACATTGCTTTGCACCTCACATTTGGTGGTGGCTGTCTCTGTGGAGCCCAGGAAGCCCGCGTGACTTTGGTCCCCGGAAACGGTGTTCTGCCTGCTGTGTTGTGGCTCTTCTCCCCCTAGCAACACCCATGTTGTGATGCTCTTGATGGCTCTCCAGGGACCTGGTCCAAGGGCCCTGGGGTGGTCAGCTGAGTGAGCTGAGGCTGCAGACAAAGGTGGACAGTGGGCAGTGGAGCCCTGTTAGGGATGTGTCATGTGTAGCTACTCCTTTCCCTGGCTTCCTGGTTCGGCTGATCTGAACTCTGCTGTCTTGGCCAGATTATATGATGACAGAGATAGTGGAACTGTGTAAACTAGTATTGTGGCCTCTCCCTCAGGTGCCACTGCGTCCCCTGATGCTGAGTGCACAGGGTAGGTGGCCTGTGAAACTCACTCAGGTTCCTGTTCCCTGGCTTTAGCGCTATTTCTTCCCCAGCTGCTGTGAAGGGCTGGTCTTCAAGAAAAGCAGGCCCTGCCAGAGCTCTTTGTTTCCTGGATGGCCGTTCAGCACTTCACATGTTCCTACAGAGCTTGGTTACTTGCTAGTACTGTGAGACTACCCTCGTGGAACAAGCCACACAACTGACAGCTGCTATGGCCAGCGTGATGGGACTGTTTGAGGTGTGCCCAGCTTGAGGGCTGTGGTGGCTGCACTCGATGCCGTAGGTGGCCTCACCCAATTCCTTTTCCTTTTACAGAGAGTCAAGAAAGATGTGGACAGAGGTACCCAGCACTCAGACATGTTCCTGCTAAAGCCTGAGGATGGGGGAGAAGGTACTGCTCTGCTCGCAGGAGCTGGCTTGGCTTCACTGTGGTTTGAGAGGCAGGCCCTGTTGGGCTATGGGCAGAGGCAAAGGCCACCTCCCTCTTGTGGATGTAGGGGTGGCAGTGAGCTTCTCGCACACAGCTCAGAGCTGGGCTGGGCCACCCTGCCCAGGAAGGCTGTGGTGCCTGGTCTGACTGGGTGGGGACCTGTCAGAGCACCTGTCAAGGGCCCAGTGCCGTTCAGTCACCCATGTCCCTTCCACGCCTGACACCTGAGGTGCTTTGAGATAACTATGAATGGACCTTCTAGGCAGTTTTGGGTGCATACATTCTTGGGATCCCGAAGGTGCAGAGCCAGGTGTGTAGGAGGTGTGGGGTGAGAGGCCAGGGTAAAGGTGCTGTTGCTTTGCAATCGTTTCTTGGCATTTTAAGGAACTTTTGTTCTTGTTCAAGATCAAGTGAATGACAACGGGAGGTGGAGTTCTGGAATGCTCCTGAAGTATTCCCCTCCTGAGAGGCGGGAAATCCCGTATCTTCCAGAAGAGATGGAGTGACCACCTTCCAGGCCGTAGCCCTGCGTCTTGGGAGAGAGCTAGGTGGGGTCTGAGGCCTGGGTTCTGGTGCCAGGGCTGCCTCCATGTGACAGTGTCCTCTGACCTCCTTGGAGGAGAAAAATGAGGGGATTGCCACGCACAGTAGCTTTACTTGTTCCTGCCCTAGAATTCTTCAGCCTCAGGACTGTCCTGCACCACATACTTCTCAGGTGGCCACAGTGTCCTGCACTTGCAGGTGAGGGTGTTTGCTCCTCCAGCGAGCTCCTTATATACCAGGGCACTTGGACCTGAAGGCTGGACTCTGCTCACTGCTCAACCCCAGTGAGAGAGACTGGAAAGTCCTGCCTGCCTGTGCGTGTGCACTGGTGGTGTAGCTGTGTACCTTCTGGTTGTGATGAGTTGGCCGTGGCCCACGAGTAGTGGGCCCAGAGTCCCACTTGTGGGGTGTGTCCACAGCCATGTCCAACACTACCCAGTGGAATGTCTGCTGTTACTTTTTAGTTCTTTAGGGGAAAGTGTCTACCCTTTTTTCTGGAAGGGGTGGACTTTGCCTCACACTTTACACAGACCAGGTTTTGAGAGCTCACACCCATGAGGCACCTGCCAAGGCAATGCAAGGCAGACGTCACCAGCAGGAAGAGGCACCAACCTGGGGTCTAGTGTGCGCCAGGCAGAGGTTCAGTGTTGTCTGGCCCCTTGTGGGGCTGTGCCCCCCCAGCCGCCCACAGGGACCTGCTGGATGTGGACTTTCTGGAGACCCTCCTAGGACCTGGGCAGCCCTCCTGAGCTCCGCTTCTGTGCCCCTACGCTCCCCGCACTGGCCACTAGGTGGCAATGTGAGGAGGGCCCGTGAAGAGTCACACAGCTGGGCCTGAGGAAGGACAGAGCCCCAGGGTGGAACTGTGTCCTGTTCTGCTTCTGCAAAGGGAGCCTCACAGTGAGGCGCTGCCATTTGCCTGCACCGACCAGCACTGGGCGCCAGGGCTCCCCAGCCTCCTGTGTCTCTTGCCCTGCTTACCTTCTTTGTTCTCTATTGACAGGCAAATGGACATGGACCCGGATCAGCCCTTCAGGGGTCAAGCCCACTCCAAGGTCTGGCTTTTCGGTGGCCATGACCCCGAATCATCAGGTGCTACTCTTTGGGGGAGTCTGTGACAAGGAAGAGGAAGAGAGCCTGGAAGGCATGTTCTTCAACGACCTGTACTTCTACGATGCTGCCAGGAGCCGCTGGTTCCTGGGACAGCTGAAGGTGTGAGCTCTGGCATGGAGCGCCCAGGCAGGCAGGCTGCAGCTGTGGTGGCCAGAGCCCACCCTCACACCTCAGTGCCTCTTCCTCCCCACAGAGCACCTGTGTACCCTCCCAAAGGGAATATCCTGCTTCCACACGCATCCCAGCTGACCAGGCTTGGGGCTCTGGCCTGGTGCCCACTGGCACAACCTTGCTGTCCTGGCCTTGATTTAGAGCCAGAAGCTGCCCAGGCCACCGTCTGATGAGGGCACTTGTGGTCCTCTGCAACAGCCTGTGTGTCTGCTGCCCAGGCTTGTCCCTGGTTTCCCATCACCCTCTCTGCTCTCCTTATCAGAGCAGCTGCTGCCCAAGGCTGCCTGAGACTGGCAGAACAGTGGTGGCAGTCCCAGAAGGGGACTTGCAGGCAGCCCCACCGTCTGCGTAAGCACATCAGCATCTTGCCCCACATGCCCACTGCAGTGCATCCGCCTGCCACAGAGGCACACTGCTGTCACAGGGCCTGGCGGAGTGAGTGGCACACGCGGTTCTGCACGTGGGGCCTCTGCTGGGTGGAGAGCTTCCTGCCCAGACCCCGGGGCTGGTTAGTCTTGTCCTCACTGTTTTTGTCTCAGGCCCCCGTGCTCCTCGGGTGAGACTCTCAGCAGTGTCCCTATGGTGAGCTGAGTACCTAGAGCGTAGCTTTTCCCCGGGTTGGCCTGTGGGGAGTGATGCTGGAACTTCTGAACACAACATGGCAGCAGACATCATCTCGGGAGGATGCATTCTCTGAGGAAATGACCACCACCCCTTAGCAAAAGGGTCCAGGCAGGCTGCAGTGAGGTCTAAGAGGCCAGCGGCAGGGCAGATGGTCGTCCTGCGGAAGAGGGCCCAAAGGAAAGCTGCATGGGAGTGTTGGGACTGCAGGTTCTGCTTCCCACAAGGCACCTGTCGGTCAGCAGGTTTTGTTGACCCACTCATCACTCTGCTGGCCCTGGTGGGCTTTCCCCAGGCTACCTTCAGGGCTCTAGGAGCCAGGGCACTGCCGGGGTTCTGCCTGGTGGCCTTCTGTGAAGATACCACATTGCCTGCCCACTGTCTCTGCTGCCTGAGAATACAGGGATGTCTGTGGTGTCCTGCACTTTGTCCCTACAAGTCCTTTGTGGTGTGTTGGGGGGCAGGGCCGCCCCTGCTCTGCTGCTCAGGTCAGGCACTCTGCTCTCATTCCCTTGTCAGGGCCCCAAGTCGGAGAAGAGGAAGCGAAGGCGGGCCAGAGCAGAGGACCATGAAGGTGCCAGGGAATTGGAGCGTGGGGCAGCCAGTGCCCCCGAGCCCCTGGAGGTGGTCAAAGAGGTGGTGGCCGAGGACGGGACCGTGGTCACCATTAAACAAGTGCTCACAGCCCCAGGCTCAGCAAGCTGCCCGCCCCCAGAGGAGGAGGATGGGGCTGTGGAGGCTGGCCCCAGGGTGGAGCCCTGTCCACGCTCCAGTGCCATGCTGGCCGTTAAGCATGGGCTGCTGTATGTCTACGGGGGTATGTTTGAAGCCGGTGACCGCCAGGTGACTCTAAATGACCTGTATTGCCTCGACCTCCATAAGATGGAAGAGTGGAAGGTCTTGGTGGAGATGGATGCAGGTAAGCTGGAGGGGGGGGGGGGGTCTTTACCTGGAGGGCACGCGCCAGCTGTTGGGCCGGCTGTCTCCAGTGCACCTGCCCCCGTCACCATATCTGCCCTGGGCCAGGAGCCTCGTGGGGATTTGGACTCTCGCCCCTGGCCAGGGTACCCTGAGAGCCTGCCTGGGTGTGGGCCGCAGAGGGCACTGGACACCAGCCCTGGACAAAACTTCTGTGGGTGCACCTAGTGGTTCTGCTGGAACTCAGCCGAACAGACCCTCCTGTGTCCCCGAGCTCCCAAGTGTTCAGCCTGTGGCCCTGTCTCTGTTACCCAAACTGCCTTGGCCCCTTGAGTCCTCAGGTCCCCGTTTCCCCTCAGACTGCCATGGGACCCAACTCATTTTTACGAAGACTCGAGACAGAATGCGGGGCTCCGTGTCTGGGGAGCAGCAGATCACACCCTGCTGCTGTCTCCCGAGGACCAGCTGTCACTCAACAGGCCACGTCCATGGAGGGAGTGGTGTCTGCTCGTCCTCTGTGTCCCCTGTCTCTCTGCTCTGAAGTTCAGGGAGATGCTGTCTCTTCTCTGCTGGCCCTGGGTGTCCAGGACAGGGGAGTTGGGTTTCACGTCACAGTTGTGGATAAGAAAATGGAGTCCTGTGAGTTGGCCAGCTCCTGCGTGCAGTTTTTCCTGACACCCCAGGCTTCAGTGAGTCTCTGTTCTTTTTGTTTTTGAAGAAACTCAGGAATGGCTGGAAGATACGGACTCAGAGGAGGATAGCAGCTCGGCTGAGGGTGCTGAGGGGGGAGATGAGGACCAGGACGAGGACAGCGGGGAGGAGACCGGCGAGGAGGAGGAAGGTGAGATTCTCCCTGGGATTGGCCTTTGTTCTGTGCTCTTGAGGAAGCCTCAGGTAAACAGCGCCCGTGTGGCTTCGAGCTCACTGTTGAGGGCAGTACTGCTGCAGCCTCTGCAGCCGCACGTGACGGCTGTCTTCTGCATTGCTTGCCCAGGCTCCCACAGCTGAGTGTTTCCACCCCTTCTCCTGGATGGAGCAGTGGCATGGACCATCCACCTGGGACTGAGCAGTACTGGCTGGAACTCACCAGGGACAACCTGGGGCCTGACACTCTGGAGAAGAAAGTGCTGGAGGTTAACTGAGGGTAGCTGAGGCCCTTTAGCATCACCAGGTGTCATTTAAAATAAATTGAGTGTGAACTAGGCCTACAGTCCTGTTCTTCAGCCTGGAGCGTCCTCGCAGTCTGGCCAGGCCTCTGCCTTCCTGTGGGTTCTACCAGGTGGGTGGAGTGGCTGCCTGCGTGCGGGGTGATGCCACACAGAAAGGGTGAGACATGAGTTTGAGGGACCCCAGCCAGCCTGTTTCTGTTCCAATAAACCCGGACTAGGTGTTCTTTGAGGGGGTTTTCCTTCTGCACAAGGGGACACCAATGTTCTATGACCCATATCGTCACACTGGAGTCTTCAGTACCTGGCAGTCGATGAAGCAGCCATGGTGCTCATGTGGTCGTGGTGCCTTCAGCATGGAGGGCCTGCTGCCAGGCCAGTCCTTCCTGCTGCGCAGCCTCCTCATGGGTCTTGGGAGAGAGCTCCAGATGCCAGCGGGCCCACCATCAGCCTTCTCGGGGAGCAGGCGGCGGGGGCCTCCCCCCCCCCCGTGCCTTTCCTCCCTGGGCGCAGGCTGTTTGCAGAGTGACAGCAAGGAAGGGAAGCCAAGAGCAAGGACCCCACGCCTCTGCGGCCTGCCTGTGGGCCAGCATGGTGGCCAGTGCCTGCTCTGGGCCTGGAGACCAGGCTTCCTGTGTCTGGTTGAGTTGTGAGTTGGGCTTTGACTTCACACTGGTGCAGTTTTTCCCTTTCATCCAAATGTCTTCACGGTGACGTGCAGGCCTGGTGGTTTCTGTAGTGCGGCATAACTCTGTCACCCGTTTGTCACCCTAGAGTTAACCAAGAGGTAGGCTCAAGCACAGAGTTCTGATGGGAAAGGGTGGGGCCCAGCTTGGCTGGAAACAGCCCCCTTTTCCATCGTCTTCTCGTGCTGAGTCTGCACCACGGAGATCAGGGTGGTCTTCAGGCAAGGCACCTCACACCCGTGAGGAGGCGCTCCAGCCAGCACGTCTACAGCAGGGTCACTCTGCAGCGGGTTTGTGGGGCTCCTTGTTCTTGTCTTCTGAGGGCAGCTGAGCTGGCCGTATAGGTCATGCTGTTAAGATGAGCTTGAGGGGTTGGATGGGCTGAATTGAATAAAACGGAAGGGAACCACCAGCTAAGCTTGGAAATCTGATCATTGAAAGTTTGGTTTCGATTTGGCTTTTTAGATGTGACAGTAGTGTTTATTCAGTTTGACATTTTTTTTCTCTCTGAATCAGTACAAGCAAGAACTTTGGGTAGTTGATCCTTAGAAATACTTCAAGGGAGCTGAGTATGGTGGCCACATCTGTAATCCCAACCACTTGGGAGACTGAGGCAGGAGGTTTGCAAGTTTGAGGCCAGCCTCAATAATAGAAGGCCCTGTTTCAAAATAAAAGGGGATGAGGGTGCAGCTCATTGGTGGAGTGCCCAGTTCAATCCCTAGTACTGCAAACATTAATAAGAAAACCTTTAAGGGACCAAAGGCTGGAAGCCTCCCCCCTGAGGTTAATAGCTAGCTCCTGTCAGTTTCAGGTGACTAAATGAGAGCCACACGGAAAGCCTTCTCAAGTATGCTGTAATGGGGTGTTGGAACCAGGTGATGGCTTGATGAGAGGAATTTGCCTGAGGAGGGGATGTCTGTTCTCTCCCATGGAAGGAGAGGTCAGGCGCCGGCCCCCACTGCAGTCTGCACCTGAGTCTGTGCCGTAGGCACTTCTGCCTCAGCAGGCGTCCTCGTCCAGCTGCGCCTGGTCACTGAGGTCTGACTATGGCATCCTCAAGGACACAGCAGTCACTGGGGAAAGTGGAAGCACCAGCAGTACAACAGGTGCCATGGTTGGTGCAGGGACCAGGGTGGTGGCTTCCCAAGCCCAGCTGAGCCCATCGGTCCTCTTGTCTTCGCCCCCAAGGCTGCAGACCCCCCAGGGGCTGGCAGTGGCACAGGGGCAGGAAGCAGGAAGCCCAGGTTGTCGTGGAAGAGCTGCTGAGCTGGGAGCACCAGGCCCCTAACTGGAGAGACACATGCATGGAGGTTGCCGATGTTACAGTAGGGTTTCAAGGTGCTGCCTGCCCTGGTTGCCTTTGTCCTCTGCTTACAGAGGTGGCCCACGCTGTGGCCATGGCACCTATTGGTGCTTCAGACACCAGGGCATCCTGCATCTTGTCAGCCCATGGAGAGGGGAGCCGGGCTCGCTGCCTAGAGAAGGACACAGAAAACGCCAGGGTGGGCCGGTTGGTGTTCACAGCCCCAGCCCCTCCCCAGGCTTTTCCTCTCAACAAGGGCTCCTCCAAGCCACAAGGAGCGCGGCTGCTGGGTAACAGAAGCACAGTCCTTGAACGGGCATTGGTGTTTGTCCAGCCTTTGGCAATAGAAGGACCTTCAGTAAAGACACCAGTTTATAAAGAGGTGAAACAAGTTTTCCACATTTTCAAGTGACATTTATTTCTAAAAGGAGCAAACTTTTCCTTTAATTTTGATAGTGCTCCTTGATTTCAGTGGTAAAATACATAGCAGTGGTATGATTTAAACAGTACATTCATTAGAGAAGGTTTGTTTCCATTTTGTAATTAACCAGGCCGTTTCCAGCTAAAAAACAAGAGGCCACTCTAACTGGCTGCTCCATGGAGAACCCAGTGCCCAGCAGACGTTACCTTTGGCTATATGTGTGGGGGTGCAGTAAGCAAGGGGTTTACCTGCACCAGGGAAAGAACTGAATAAAAAAAAATGCAGGTTAAGACGGTTCTAGGTCAGAGTTCACAAAAAGGCATCTACACTGCGGCCAGCAGTTTCACATCTGCAGCAAGGGTCAGTGGCCGCGCAAGGCTCACCACGCCATGTGGGTCAGGGGCAGCTCAGTAGAAAGGTGGGATAGCCTTTCAGGGTCAGGCACTCCCAGCCCCCAGGGAGCTTCTGTCTGCAGGCTGGGTGGACAGCACTTGGCCCCAATGGTTGCCCACAGCCTGTGGCATGCAGGCTGCATCTGCTGGGGTGTGGCATGCTCCAGAGGGTGGGTCTTACACAGGGACCTGCATGCAAATAGCTGGGGACTCCTGGGCACTTGGCCTCAGATGGAGGGACTGATAGAGGGTGCCCTGCATACCACACCACCCTACTGTGCCTTCACACCTGTCTCCTCCCTCCAGCCTAAGTCCACATCTGAGGAGCCACCCTGGGCAGTGGAGATCAGCCCTCCTTGCTGATCAGCAGCCGCTAAATGGACTCAGCTGTGGAAGGGTCATTTGTGAATGAGGGGTGGCTGGACAGTATGAAGTGGATGGCATTCTAGAGAGCGAGACAACCCTTTGGTGTGAGTGACATTGGCGGGCAAGGTTGAGCACAGTGCCCCGTGGAAAGCCTTCACCTGTTACATCCCGCCACACGGAGGGCTGCAGGGCGTGCCTCCGGCCTCCGTGTGATCTGAACTTCATCCCAGGTGAGGCAAGGTCACCAGAGCAGGCAGAACGTGGTGTGCTCCTGGTGCTCCTGCAGGGAAGATGAGCAGCATCCAGCGGAGACCCTGCCTTAGCCACCATGGGGTCTAGGAGGCTTTCCTGGTTTGGGCTGCAACTGTCACCAAGCAGTGGTGGCAGCTAGAGGCGCATGTCCCCATGTGGCGCTGGGTGCAGACCTGAGGGAGCCCACTGGAACCTGCAGCCAAGGTGGGATGTTGGTTCCTGAGCCAGGGCAGGGCAAGGGCTTGTGGGCCGGGCATGGCCAGAGTGAGGTAGTGTGACGGTACCGCCCGCCCTGCCCTCCCAGCACCCAGCACCCAGGCTCCACACGCAGCTTACGCCCCAGTGGGCTGCTTACTCTCTGCATCTCAGGACTCCTGCGGGCTTTCACAGAGCAGCACAGCCAGCCTTTGTACCTGGCCGGGCTGAGGGTCCCGTGCTCCAGCCTTCCTCCAAGAATCGCGCCCAGGGTCCTCCAGGGGCCATACCCATCCTGCCACACACTGCTCCCTCCTACCTGCATCTCTTCAGGTGTCATTGTCCTGCAGCTCCCCAGGAGGGGCCAGCACAGGGGCTTGGGGCTGCAGGCTGTTTTCCTGCCTTTCAGACATCTCTGTCCCTGAGTTGTACCTCAGGCACGGTGCTACACTGGGAAAATGCAGATCAGCTTTTTTCTCCGAAACAAAGGCAACTTTACTGTTTCTTGCTTCTTTTAAGGCTGAGTTGGCGACACGTCTTGGCACTTGGGGACAAGATTGTTTTCTCAGTCTGCACTGCCTGCCTGGCAGGCCTGGGCAAGGGGACAGAGCTGGGTGCACACCTGAGTTCCTGGGCAGCAGAGCTCAGACTCACTCCCTCCTCTGCCTGGAGTCCAGGAGGCGGTCCTCGTCCTGCGCAAGGTGGAGGGGACCTCCTGAGAACAGTCTGTTCACTCTGGTTTGTGAGGCGCAGATGCGACAGCTGTACCTTCCGGTCGGCAGGGAAGCCAGGAGCCACATAGCACAACAAGCTGTGGAGATGTAGGAGGGTCTCGTAGGCACCTTTATGCTGATTTTCTGAGACCAAAGGCAAGAAGGGTGGAAGACGAGACCTGTGAAGAGTTAAAGAAACTGAGCTTTATCTAGAAGAGAGAGGTGCCCCTGGCGCTGTTGTCGTGAAGTGTTTTATTGCACAGGTGAAGTGACATGAGTAACCATCCCGTGATGTTTTGGAGCAGATCAGAGGTCCTGGCCTGTGGTGCTGTTAGCCCTGGAGGGCAGCCCTGGCCGCTGCAGCCCGCAGGTCCACGTGGGTACAGGCCTGCCAGAGAAGTAATACTGGTGCTGACACTCAAAAGTGTTGGACAGCCCCAAACCCAAGCTAAACAAGCACCCAAAGCCGAAATGTTTCTTGTGTCTCCCAGATGCTCTTCTTGGCACCCAGGTACCTCAGGCTTGGCACCTGCAGGCTCGGGACCACGTCCTTCCGTCTTCATGTGGGGTGCCCTGTAGTCTGTCTAAACTGGAGCCATTTTGCGGGTGAAGAGGAGCAGGGAGGGTTGGGGCCAGTGTGTGTGGCCACCCTGTCCAAGTGCCACAGCCTGAGGGAGGTGTGGTGGGGGGGGGGGGAGCCAGCGCAGCCTGGCCTGAGACTTCACTGAGGAATCCTGGGCTTAGTGCCTCCAGGCCATCCAGGGAGGAGTGTACGTGTCTGCTCACACCTTGTGCAGCAGGGTTTCAAAAAAGAGCAGTTTATTGGCTGGACGATGGACTGGGCTGTGCAGAAGGAGCATCAGTCTGTGTCCCTGTGGGCCCCACCCCCGAAGAGTCTGGGCAGCGAGCACTGCCCTGGGGCACCATGCAGAACTTCCTGTGCCACTGTCTTCCCCTTCAGTTACATCGGGCTCTGTGCTGCAGGCTTCATCTTTATCTTTGGGGAACCTGTGTGCTAGCAGTTACAAAACCTAGAATCCAAAAGAATGGATGAGCGTTTTTCTGGAATGACCCATGCGTGTTACATGACTGACAGAAGTCCAGTGTGCAGGGAGTCCTCAAAGTCTCCATGAAGGACACTGCTCAGCTGTGGGAACACAGTGTCATTCCCACTCCTGGCAGCCCAGTAGCAGGGTCTCGGGAAACACACGAGGTTCCTCTCTGCATCTGGTTTCCCCTCCTGGAGCAGGCAAGAGGCTGACAGGAAGAAAATGGTTCTTAGGATGTGGCTCTGTGCACTGGGAGCCAGTGTGGGACCTGGTGCTTGGCCTGCCTGCTGCCGTGCTCATCTGGCCCCACAATGGCCCACCAGGACCCTGTGGGGGAAGTGGGGGTTCTGGACAGGTGCAGCCACCGGTGCATGCACCAGCTGGAAACCAGCTATCTAGACGCCAGACCCAGTGGATCTTGGCCTTGCTCAGATCCTCGGACTGCACCAGGAACAGGGGAGATGGCTTCCCCTCTGCAGTTGCTGCAGACTGCAGACAAAGCTCTGGGCAGGGTCTGGTCTTGTCGGTGGTGTCACTGGCAGCAGAGAGTGCTGTGCTGGCCACGCATCTGCGAGCATGGGTGTGGAGGCACATGTGCCCCTGCCCAGCCTCAGGTTTGTGCTCTGCTTCTCACATACCTGTGGCATGGCCTGCAAGGAACCACCTGCGTTTGTAGGTCCCCTTTGTGTCATGCAGTTACTGGAATGTACAAAAGAAGTCTCATTGTTTTTACAAAGAGTTGCAAACAGTTACAAAACACATCCCAACATGGATGATTCTTAGAGCTGCAAAGAGCAGGAATCTTTATTTGGTTCACTTCAGGTCTGCAGCAACCACTTGATATTAAAAAAGAGGAACGGAAAGATGTACAAAAGATGTAATATCCCTTTAGAAAGGAACATTGTCAGAAATGGATCATCTGCTGAGCATCCCTCCCTCACCTGTGCCCCCCAAACCAAACTGTGAGAAGGAACGGGGAGTGAATGGATAACGGAAAACAATAGAAACTGAATGTGACTGCAACATGCTCTAATCTTTAGTTTATTTCTGGTTAAAAATATAGCAATCCAGTGCAGTGTAGTAAAGAAGCTCTGCTCGAAAGGCAGCAGAGACGGCTAACGTAAGCAAAGCAAGGCAGGGTCCATGAGACGGACGGAGCGCCGGCCTCCCAGGCATGCACGCAGGCTCCTGCCTACGGACACGCCTGGGCTGCCCTCGGCCACCAGACGGTCTGGCATCCCTCGTTTGTTTGGATAATGGAACGACCCTGGTAGAGAAGGCAGAAACGTAAGGAACCTGTTTTTGTTTGACCGAAACGAGTTGAACATTGCACATTGGGGAGGTGTCAGGTATGCAACAACGTCTAGGAAAGTCAAGCCACTGGGTTTCAATGACATTCCTGTCCCGGGGCCAGAACTGCGCTGGAGTAGCACTGAGGCATCTGGAAGGAATATGCATATCTGTTGGGGAAGTGGAGGCAGGCACAGTACAGAGATGTGAGAACCGTGGAGGTAACAGCAAGAGGTGACAGCTTCTGGGGCGCCACTGCCAGGGACGGAAGCCTGAATATACATCCTGCATACTAAGTGCAAAAGTGCCACATGCTCAGAGCCCAGGCATGATGTCAGACTGTCCATGGCACAGTGGGCCCCAGCCCTCACGCCTGGGGCACAGCCCCGCAGCACTTGGCTGTGCCAGCCAGATCTGGGTCACCCCGGACGCCTGCAGCACAGCCTCCCTGTGTGTGCTGAGCGGACGGCCGGCGGTGATGGTGAGTGAGTGGGGTGGGGCAGGGAGGACTCTGTGTTAAGACTCGGTGTGGGGAGGTGGCCTCACAAGGAGGCCATGGGGCAGTGCCAAGAGGAGGGAGGCCGTGGTCTGGTGTGTGGGAGAAGAGAAGCGTGGTTCTCCTTCCCCTTGAGGATGCAGCACAGATTTGAAGTAGAAAAAGGCCTGGGCTGCTCCCAGCAGGACAGGACACCCTGCTCCCCCTGCTTGGCGCCCATGCTCAAGGCCAGCTGTTCAGACAGAGGAAAGCAAAGTCACTCCGCCTTCCGTGTTAGCCTGGCTAGCTGGGTACCCTGTGAGCGCTTCCTCGACCACCGCCACCTCTGTCCACACCCAGCGGGAAGGGCGAGGACCACGACTTCTCTGCCGCTGGTGTGCCGGATCCCTTCTCTTTCCACGTCAAGCGGGAGGGTCGGCGTGCTGGCCTCCTTCTGCCATGCCACACAGCATAGTGTTACACAAGCAAAGAATTTTGGCTAAAATCCAAAAAACATTACCCAGAAAAAAAGGCAAACTGTGAGTAATACCCAACCGTGGTGTTCTTCTGTGAAAAGACTGGAAGTCCCGGGGCTGTCCGAGCGGGGCGTTCCCTTTCCAGTTCCCCCTTTGCATACCGGTGCTTCTGCGGGCGGGACAGTCGCTCAGATGAAGAAGTTGATGAACAGGATGGCGACTCCAATGTTGAGCAGGATCACCATGGCCACCAGGATGGGAGCTGAGCCCTGGAAGAGAGCACAGGTGGGTCACCATGTGTGCCGGCGTGGAGGGCCAGGACAGTGAGAGCCCTTTTCAAAAGCCCGGGCTCCCCAAACACCCTGTGTCACAGTGGTTAGTCAACAGATGCCTCCAGCTGCTAGGACATCGAAGCATGGTTTCACAGCACCCGCCGGTTCGCGGGTGGCCAGCCAGCACCAGCTATGCTCCCACGCCGAGTGGCCCTCAAGTTCAGAGCCCTTCAGCAGTCCTCCGTGAAGTCACCTTCCCATTAATTCACTCACACTCACAAGCCACTGCCCCCGAGCAACTGCAGCAGCTGACTTCAAAGCCACCAGACTCTTCTAGGAGCCCAGCTTCCAGGCTCCACTCAGGGTGCTTGTCTCAGGTGCAGCCCAGCCCCTCCCCATGCCCTGCGTCAGTGCCTGGCCCTGGCCCTTAAATTGCAGGCTGCCCCTGTTGGGCAGGGACAGGTGGAGGCAAGGCCTCTGAGGTAGACCTCAGGAGAGGATGCTGGCAGCTCTGTCCTGTGAGGCTGCTCCTCAAGACCAAGTGTCACCGCAATGCTGAAGGCACAGTGACCTGCTGCACCGGGGAGGGGCGGGCCACCTCCTGGAGGGGGGCACAGCAGCCCAGCCCCGGGTGTGCCCATAGTGGTGGCCTGATCCCAGAAGACCTCTGCCCCCCCCCCCCACCACCACACACACACTGGCTACACCCAAGTAAAGAAGTGGCCGGGAGCCTCCACATCTCCTGGAGTGGAGATGACCTGCGCTAGGGTCCCAAGCTGCTTCCCTGCCCCTCTCCTCCCCTTGTGTCCAAACGTCAGAGCCATGATGAGGTTGGCTTTTCCAGACTGAGCAGGCCCTGGTGGCATCAGGCTTGCAATACAGGCAAGGGAGGGGGCTGGAATGCCTCTCCCCAGAAAGGAAACGCCTGCTCCTCTCCTCTCAGATGAGGCTGGAGGAGTCTGGCAGTTCCCCCAAGGGTTCCCTCCTAGGTGAGGACCCAAGAGAAATGAAAATGAAACGCATCCATGCAGAAGCCTCACGGCTGCTCGTGGCAACAGCACACTGGCCAGAAAGTGGCAGCACACCATGCGTCCCAGACGTGAGCAGCCACGGCAGATGTGGCTGCCCGTGCAGAGGGTATCCACAGGAAGGAGTGCAGCTGGCGTGTGCCCCAGCAGTGGACCGGGTCTTGATGCTGGGTGAGGCGAGCCCAGCAAACAGCTGCTCACCATATGATCCCATCAGTGTGAAACGTCCAGCAGAGGCAAGTGCCAGAGTGGGGACAGAGGGACGGCCCAGTGGGTCTGCAGTGTCTTTATAGAGGATGGCAGTAGTCTAGAGTCAGACAGTTGTGATGGGTACACAGCCTAAATACACTAAAACCACCAAACTGCCTGCCCTGGAAAGGTGTGGTGCGTGAATTCTCAACATAGCTGTCAGCTAAAACGATGGGTACCCCCTCATGGAGGAGGTGGCTCCTTCAGAGTCCTCTAGATGCAGCCTCACAGGGCCACCTGAACCCTGGGGTGTCCTGGAGGCACAGCTGCAGCTCCTCCCCATGCACATGTGGGCTCCCCACCCCCAGCTGCAGAGGAGCAGCCTGATCTTGCCCTCGCCTTCCTCCTGTCTGGCTGCCAGCCAGCCTGTAGCTCTTTCTGTCCCCAAGTCAGGCAGTTCTCCCGGCTGCATGGCCAGCTGAGTGACATGGTTGTCCTTGTGGTCAAGGAAGGTCCATCCCTGCCCCGGTTCCCGGTGCTCACCTTTCCAAAGCCTGGGTGGCCAGGCCCTCGCCCTCCCTCTCCTGGCTCACAGGGCTGGGCGTGCCCTGTTATCCTGTCGAAAGGCTGCCTAATGCTGCTGGCTGTCACCCTGTGGTGACACAGCTCTTGCAGGGCCTGGGACGCTCTGTGAGGCAGGGTGCTGGTGGAGAGCATGCCACCACGCCGCTCCTCACGCAGGGTCTGTGAGAGCTGGACAGCCATCTCACCCACGATGGCAAGAGATGCCCTCAGAACCCAGCCTCAGGTCTCCGGCCCACTTAGCTCTGGAGCTGGGCCTGCGTGGCCCCCAGATCCACCGGCCCACTGGGCTCCATCTGCATTGCAGGCAGGGGCACCCTGGTCTGGCCGCCTACCCTGCCCTGCAGCTCACAGCCTGGCACTGAGTTTGCTCACTGGACTCCTGGCAGCAGAGATTTGCTGGGGGGAGGGTGTTGGGAATCAACCAGGTTGCTGAGCCTTAGCTGTCCCCTGCTGTGGGGGAGTCCAGAGCTGGCACCTGTGCCACAGCCTTCCTTCTACAGGGAATCAGGCCCAGAAACACTCAAGGGTCTAGTGGAGGCTGTGGAGTTCGCTTGCTGGCAGAGCCGGAGGGAAAGCCTGGACATTCCTGCCCACGATAACTTCACCCTGAATTGCCAGGACCTGGGGCCTTCCATGGCCAGGTTCCTTTCCACCCCTGCTGCCCTCGCAGCAAGGGACCCTGGACAGCCCCAGAGAAGCAGGTGCAGCAGATGGTTTCATCAGGGCGGGGACTGCCGTTCTGCCCACTTACCCTGACGGTGGTAAGGGGCAGAGTCCCTGGATGAGGGGAACGCTGCTGGACAGGACATCCCACCTCTGGCCCTGCTGCCAGCCCAGAGCAGCCTGAACTGTGGAGAGCTGTGCCCCAGGGAGGGGATGCAGCAGGCCTCGGACCTCAGCACCCACGTCACCCCAACAGCCACTCGCTTCCCCACCATGAATGTTGGTGGAGCAGGCCACCTCCCCTCAGACCCAGTGACAGCCCCCAGAATATGTCCCCAGGTTGTGGGAGCAAGTGAACAAGACCCTGCCTGCTTTGGGCAGGAAGCTGGGACCCCAGGGTGGGCCCTGGAGTCTCCATCTTGGCTCCTGGGGCTGAGGGGGAATACCAACCATGGCTGGGCTGCCTCTGCCTGCAGCCACCCCACTCCAGAGCTGGCCGAGGCTGGCCCCACGTTGGCACGCCAACCAGAGGGGGCTTAGTGTCGAAAGCACCCAAAAGAGCCAGTGGGGCTCAGTGGGCTAAATATAGCGTCGATCCGCACCTCCCACCCCTGCCCATCACTCCTCCATCCCAAAATAGCCCCGCGCAGGCACCCTGGCTGCTGCGACAGGGAGGATGAGCGTGAGTGCCAGCAGGAGCCACGGGGGCTGCTGTGGGTGTCTAAGGAGGGGAGGCGCTTTAGGGACCTGCGGAAGTGGCCTCACAGGCCACAGTACCTTTGGGGGTACCAGAGACTATCGCTCAGGAGCCCTGCTGTAGCCACGGCAACACACCTGCGGGGGGGCCCCCTCCTGAGCCCACACTGTGGGTCCCGCCCCCGCCTGGGTGAGCCCATCTCCTGTCTGCCCTGTGGAGCAGCAGCCTTTAGAATTTTTTTTTTTTTTTTACCAGTGAAGAAAGAAACCAAGAGGTCTGGGCATTGCCTGTGCCTATGGGCAGGCAAGCTGGGGTCCTGCCGAAGACCTCTGGCCTTCTCCATTTTACCTACCCTGCATCCACATGGCCCTCAGCCAAGGAAGCAGGTCCTGGCTCCCCTCTGGGTATAACCTGTGCAAGACCCTGAGACCCCCAGCCCCGTCTGGCTCTGAGGCAGGGGCTATTTCCCCCAAAATGCCCACCCTCCGCAGGGAACTCAGGTGGGGAAGATCTGCCCGGATGAAGCAGGAGTCTCAGGTGAGGTCCTCAAATGGGAGCACTCCCCGGCCTCCCACAGGGTGTGAGCAACCTGGGTGGTCTGAGCCTGACCCCAAAGGTCAGGATGGGGCCTGAGAACCTATGGGGTCAACGGGCACTGCACTCCGGGGGGCACTGCACTCTGGGACTGTGCTGGGACAATGGGGAGAGCCGTGGCTGCAGGGTGAAGGAGGTCAGGAGCGAGGGGGACACCCAGGGGCTGTCCTTGGACTCTGGCTTCCTGGGAGCAGCACAGACATCTGCTTCCTCCCATGGCCCAGTGAGTGCCTGGCCCTGCGTCCGGCACAGATGAAAGGTCTTCAGGGCCAGCCCACTGAGGCACTCTGTCCTGGTCCTCTGCCTTCCTCTCGCCACTGACCCAGAGCAATAGGAGACCCACCCCCGGAGAGGCGCTCGAGAGAGACCTGCAGGGGGCCACCGGTCAGAAGCAGGGGGACAACCCTGGATTCCCACCCCTGGGGCCGGGGAGGCGGCCACTTACTGTGCTGGACTTGAGGTCATCCCCGTTCTCCTCATCGGACTCCAGTGCGACAGGCAAAGACTTCTGGGGTGGGGAGAAGGTCAAGTCCCAGCGCAGCAGCCGGGGCTCAGGCCGGTCCCCCAGCCGCAGGCTCTCCAGCTTCTGCACGGTAGGCTCCACGGAGGAGGCCGGCCGCAGGTTCTCCTGGTTCTGGGACTTGGACCTCAGTCTCTGCAGCCCGAAGCCCCGGTCCTCGGAGCGCCGGTCGCCCCCCGCGCCCCGGCCGTGGCGTCTCCTCTGGGGGTGCGGCTCTGGGGTGCAGGAGTCCATCCTCAGCAGGGGCTTCATCTCCAGCTTGTAGTTGCTCAGCTGCTCCTCGCCGGGCTCCTGCAGCTTGGCGCCCCCGGAGCCAGGGTTGCCCGCCCGCTGGTGGGAAGTCCACGAGAATGTTGGGGGGGACTCCGTCCGCCGCTCCCGGGGCTTGGGGTTCCCGGGCTGCTTGTGGCCCGCGCCCCGGGTGCGGAAGTCCTCGGTGCCTTGGCTGCTGCGCAGGGCGCTGCTGCGAACGCCCCTGCAGCCCCCTGCCTTCTCCCCTCCCCGGCTGTTCCGGGTGTCGTCCCCTCCCCGGCCCTCCAGGAGCATCTGGATGTCCCCGCCTCGCTCCTCGTCCACTGAGACCTGCCGTGAGAAGTGGGCCGCCCTGCTCCTGGAGGGGGCCGGCGGAGGCGTAGCTGCGGGGCTGGCGGGGAAGCTCCGCAGCGGGCTGTCATCCGGGGTCAGGTCTGAAGGGGTGGTGCCCTTGCGGTACAGCTCGGGGCTCTCCTGTTGCAGCGGTGTGCCGGTGGACAGCACCTCGATGTCATCGCAGGAGCCCTGGTGCTTCGGCCTCTGGTACTCCAGCCCTTGGTGAGGAGAAAGAGACACAGTGGGGGTCACCCTGAGCCTGCTCCTCCAAGGCCCCGGGGCAGGAAGGCCCAGGGCAGGGTGCTCCCTGCTCAGGGGAGGCGCAGGGGCAGAGGGAGAGACTGGTAACAGTGGCTCCCAGGGCCCTTTGGTGGGGCACGCTACCCACTGTGCACTCTGAGGATGCCTGGGCGGCCCCAGGTCACAGCAATGGCAGTGGACAGCCCTCAGCCTGGTCCCTCATCACACACTGGCTGGCCTCCTACAGGTCCTGAGGCTTGGTGACGCCAGGCGTGTCACGGCGTGTCACTACCAACCCCACTGCCTCAGGCCTGTGCCTTCCCCTGGGATTGGGGCCAGCATGAGGCCAGGTCCGGCCCCTCCCTGCATTGCTCAGGCCTCCACAGTGAACAGACATTTGCCTCAGTCGAGTCCCAGCCCGTGCCTGGAGGCGCAGACAGCCCAGGCACCCACACTTCCTTGGCCAGCAGACCTCCGCAGGGCTGGCACCCCAGCCTCTGATGTCTGTCCTCAGCCCCGCACAGGCCAGGCCCCAGTGACAGTGGCACAGTCACTTCACATGTCAACACAAGACTGTGTCCCTGATCTCATCTCAGGTGCCCAGGCAGCAGTGAGCAGGGCTGGGTGGTGACCCTGGCATGTGGCCCTGGGCCAGGGACAGCCCCCTAGATTGGTGTCCCCGTGAGTCATGGGGATGTGGGCCAGGCAGTCTCCGAGCCCCTTTCAGTGACTGGTCCTCTGTGGTCACAGGGCTGGGGCTACCATGGTATCCACACAGAGAGCCAGGCTGGGGATGGGTCCATGCAGAACCACACTAGACCCGTGTGTCCACCTCCCAGCCTGGGTTCCCGCCTGGCCCGCTTCTCTTCAGGGCCCCACGCTCAGAGCCCCCATAATCGTGCCTCACCACACCACGCCCTTGGTTGGGGTTGGGCTTCTCAGGGCCACCAACCCTGTGCCCAGACACCAGGGGTCTGGCAAGCTGGGACACTGAGTCTGCAGATGGCCCTGTGGCCTTTCCTGTGAGGCCTAGAGGAAGGCTGGCACCCCAATTGCCAGTACTGCCGTGTGGGGAGGTGGCGCTCAGCTCAAGCTAACCGCACAGAGCTGTGGCTCCTGGAGACGTCATGAAAGGATCGAGTATGTGCAGCTCAAGGCCAGAGCCTTCATCTTGTGTCCTGCTCTTTGGCTCTGGAGCATGGGCAGCATCACAGGAGCGCTGTGGGCTCTGGACACTGCCCTGCAGAAAACCAGGCTCCTGGTTTGGATGTCCCCACTTCCCCGGTGAAGGCTGCAGGTCCTCCAGGTGCAGGCGGCTTATATGGGGTGGCCCTCTCCCCGGCTGAAACTCTGGGATTTGCTGTCCGAGCAGGTGCAGCTCAGGGTGGGGAGCCAGGCCCTGCTCTGCCTCCTGGCTTCCAGGACCTCGGGCAAGCTACTGCGCTCAACCTTGGCTTCATCTGCCAAGAGGAGATGCAGCTTCTGGTTGTGAGGAGTAGCTGCAAGATGCCCAGTGGCCTCAATGGCCCCCAGTCCCTGGCCTGGGCTCATTTGCCTGTAGTACTCTCTACACAGAAGACTCAGCACTAATCAGAGATACAGGATCCAACTCCTGGCAGGAGGCACTGTGGAGGGAAGGCCCAGGAGGGACAGCCAAGAACCCCAGAGGCTCCTGGAAGCAGGACCCGGTGGACAGGAAGGGAGGGCAGGCCCGGGTCCTCCAGGTCCCTGGGCCAAGGCTGGGCAGTGTCCAGTGCCCACAGCGCTCCTGTGATGCTGCCCATGTTCCAGAGCCCAAGAGCAGGACACAAGAAGAAGGCTCTGGCCTTGAGCTGCACACGCTCCCAGTTTGGCCTCGATCCTTTCATGCTGTCTGCATGGAGCCCGGGCTCAAGCTGCCTCAGCAGCCCTAGCTTCAGTTCTGTCCCGAGGAAGAGGGATGCTTCCAGGAGCCAGCTTCTGGACCGAAACAGCAGCCAAGGCCTGGCCAGCCGGACCCATGGTTCTGCCTCCCAGGGCTCCAGGGCCCACACCAGGGTCACGGGGCCACACACTACGCACAAAACAGCAGACGTTGTCTCTTGGGGGTCTGAGGGGTGGGGTTCTGAAGCCAAGCTGCGGGTGGGGCTCTGCCAGGGCGCTAGGGGAATCTGCTCCTGGCCTCTCTGCGGCTTCTGGTGAGCACCCCTGGGCTGTGGCCACACCCTCCTGGCTTGGGTGTCTCTGGGCGGTATTTTAAGAAAACTCCAGGCTGGATTTAGAGCTTTACTGATCCAGGATGATCCCACCTCCCCATCTTGGCCTTAACTGCATCTAGGTAGCCCTTCCTCCCAACACAGTCCTTGCCTTTGGAGCCGCAGGTGGACGATGCTCCTGGGCCATTCAGCGCACCCAGGAGCCTCAGACACTGTGGCCCTCCCTTTCCCTCACAGATGGAGAAACGAGGCTCTGAGAGGCCAAGAACAGCCCCAGCAGTGGAGTCAGCTCGCGACCTGTGCAAGGGACCTGGGCGACCCACGCGTGGGGACTGTGCATTAAGTCCTCCAGGGTTCTTCCTGTGGCTGGTGTCACCAGGCGCCTAATGGTCTGAGCACAGGGCTGGTGGCCTGTGTCCACCCGGCTCACACACCTGGGCCCAGTGTGTCCAGAGAAGAGGCTGGGGTTGGAGGACGAGGGGTGGGCAACTCACAAGAATGCAGACCTGTCAGGACGCCACTTCCTAGCCCAAGGTCACAGCTGAGGTCCCATCAAGGACAAAGGAGAGCCCACCGACTCAGCCACAGGCAGTGGGGACCAGGGGTGCTCTGTGTTCCTGACTGTACCTCTAGCTAGGAGCAGCAGGCACCCAGCCAGGGAAGAGTGCGGAAGGAGGACGGCCACATTCCATGTCTGGGCCAGGAACACCTGGGGAAGGCGCCCTGGGGCCAGTACAGGCAGGACACCAGAGAAAATAGATAGCGAGGACCAATTTGTCTGCTGGCCCAGGGGACCGTCCCTGCCCCAAGGCCAGGAGGCAGCTCAGGGCTGCAGGGTTGGATCCATCCCCAGACGCCAGCAGCTTTCCTCCCGTGTGCTGGTCAGAGGTGCAGACAGGAGGGAGCCCTGTCCCCCGGCTTCCCAGAGAGGCCAGGTTGGGAGCCAGCGGGCCATGACTCTGTGACCTCTGCCAGCACAGCCCCTCCACCACACACCACAGTAGGCCTTCATGACCCTGGGCCTGTCGTATGGAGTCCAGAAGAGAGCACACGGTCCACATGGGCTCCTGCAGGGAAGGCTGAGGTTCCTGAACCTGATGGGACATGGAAGGAGCTGCTGTCCAGTACTCAGAGCCTCACCTGCCAATGCAGCAGCCAGTGGCCACACAAGGCCATTTGCATCTAACAGCAGACAAGTTAGGACTGAATGAAACTAGGCCCACCTCCTTAGTCTCTCTCACCACGCAAGGCTAGTGGCTGCCACGTGACAGCAAACAGATGGAGACATCCATTATCACAGAATGTTCTAGAAAGACGGCAGCAGACAGGGAGAGGCAGCACACCTGGAAACAGACACATGGACCCTGGGGCCACCTGAAATTTTTGAGGAGGCCCTGCCGGGACATGCAGCTCCAGTAAAAGCGGTGGCCACCAGCAGGATGTCAGCTTCTGGGGCAGAACCCATGTGAGGCCAGCTGGCCTGGGGCACGGGGACACATCTCATGCCTGACCGCCCGGCGTGCACCCAGCCTTGGAAGCCTGGGGGGCAGCAGACTCACCGTTCTCCCGGTGCTGGAAGGAAGGAGAGAACTCTTTGGCAGTGATCCTGGCGATCCGGGCTTCCTCCTGCGCTTTCTGAGCCGCGGTGAGGGCGGCCTCAGCCTTGGCCCGCGAGTGGGAGGTCCTGGGGGAATACGGGAGGAATGAGAAGGGGGACGGGAAGCAGAGGTGGTGGGGTTGAGGCCTCGTGCCCGCGATCCTGCACACCCAGCAAGACCGAGAGCGGAGGCTGGTGCACTGCGGCTGCCTTTGGCCCTCCGGACCTTTCTCATTCATTCAACAAACATCACTGGCACCAATCCCCCGGCCCGGCTTGTCAGATGTGCTGCAGAACGTGTGTGTTCTCGTTATCGACCAGCGTCCTGCATGTGGGCACAGGGAGCCCATGCCAGGGTGGTGCCACACCCCAGGGGTGCCATGACAGGGGACACCAATGAGTCCTGCGGCAGGAGTGCCCCGATGCCCTCCTGTCAGTCACCCCCCATCAACTCTGGCCCAGGGTGACCCTAGGTGTGGGCGGCTGTGGGCTGCCCCCAGCTCTGCTCTGGCGGCCTCTTCCCACTCAGTCCTGTCGGCTGGCCAAGGCCACAGTGGCCAAGGCACCACTGCCCCAGTCTGGGGATTGCAGGTCTAAGATCAAGGTGCCAGCAGGCTCCACGTCTGGGGAGAACCCGCTTTCTAGCACACGGATGACACCTTCCCACTTCGTCCTTGCATGGAGAAAGGGGCAGGGAACTCTCTGGGGCCTCCTCTTAGAAGGCACTGATCCCATTGTGGGGTCTGCACCCTCATGACCTGGTCACCTGTCAAAGGCCCTGCCCCTGACACCAGCATGCTCAGGACGGGGTTGGACGCCTGTTGGGGACACACTGAGTCCTCTGTAGCCCTAAGCTGCCTGATCCCTCTCCCTGCAGCACCTGTCACTGGGCGTCCACGGGCTAAGCCTGGAATCCCTTGAATCTTGGGAGAGACCGGGTTTGCTCTCTTCAAAATCCCTCGGTGCTAACAGGAACAACTTTCCCAGAGAAGGTGACTCTGTCATGTATGCAGACACAGAAATATAAACCGCCACCAGACATGCTTCCAGGAAATGAAGCAAGCTGCAGAGAGCCCGTGGGCTCCAGGCATTCCTGCCCTGGCTCCGCCATACTGCTGGGAGGAAGCCCCAGAGACCCGAGAGAAATCCCTGGGCCGGAATTTAGCACTGGCAGGATTCTGTCCTCGCATAGTTTTATTTCTTGGAAATGGGAGAATCTGTAATTTCTCAACATAGTTATGGCTGCATGTCCCATGGAGTATGAGGACCACCTTCTAGAAGATTCCTTGAGAATCTGGTGTTTGTGATCACACAAAATAGGGGCAGGGAGTCAGAGATAAACCTGTTAATTAAGCACTAATCAATACCTGACTTACTATCTCTGATGAGCCGGTGTCAAGCCATTGCTGCAGGCCTGCTGGGCGCAGATGATCAGCATGTGTGCTGATCATGGGGCTCTCTGCTGCAGTCCCCACCTGGGGACTTTGTGGGACATCTACACTCACCCTAGTCTGGCAGTCTCAGGGTGGCCACCCCTGCCTGCCGCTGCTCAGTGCCTCCTCTGATGCCCAGATGGACAGCCCCACTAACCAGCAAGAGCAGCGGGGTGCCCTGAGGTCTGCAAGGTTGCAAAGTTGACAACGCATTGGTCCAACGTGGCCTGCCCTTGTGGAGACACCAGGCCCGGCTGGAGCCTCAGGGAGCCTGGGTGGCCAAGGACCCGGGGCAAGCGACGCACCCCCCAGTTCACTGACAGCCCAGCCGGGCAGCCTCTCCCTGCCATGGTCCCTGGGTCTCCTTGGCCACAGCGGTTTCATTGAGAAAGAACCCACAGGCCTGCACCCGCCTCAGGGTGGTTCCCAGGCACGCAGAGCTGTGCCACTGTCCTAGGTGCTCCTGCCCCAAGGGGACCCGTGGCCTCTATCGGTCACCCCCTCCCAGCCAACAGTCCGTTTTGTCTCCACTCATTCTGGAAACCTCATGCCAAATAGACTTTTTAAGGTTTTCTTTCTTTTTACTTTTCCCTCACCAAGTGGAAGTCACATGACATGGAGGGACACCACCCACTGGCCTTCAGCGCGGGTGCAGCCATCACCCCCAAGGGAGACCCTGTGCCCGTAACTTTCCCTCCAGTCCCACCAGTGACCTGTGAGGTTCTAAGCCACCATTCAGTGCGGACAAAACACCTGCCACTGTCTCAGGACCCAGCCCCTTTGCTGGCGCCGGGCCAGGGCTGACCTCAGGCTGCACCGCACGGCTGCTGGGCAGCTGGGCCCGGTCCCCTCCACTCCCGGGTTCTTGCTGGGAACTCCTGCCTCACAGGGTTGTCAGTTGGTAAGGGAGACTTGAAGCTCCCGGTCACCTTTGTCCCAGGGTCTGGGGTAGGCCCCCAGCAGGAGGCACACAGTGATCCAGAGACTGAGCACTGGGGAGGTGAGGCTGGGGACTCCGAGCCCAGGCTGCAGAGCAGAGGAGGCCCCTCTGGAAGAGCCAGGGCTCGCTGTCCTCGGGCTGCTCACCCTGCACTTGGCTCAGAAGAGGGGGCAGCCCAGGCCTTGACCCGGAGGAAGCTCCCCCACCACAGGACTCCGGGGCTTCCTCACTGTTACTAATGCACACTCACTGTACAAATGACGGACTGTGGGGATTTCTGCGAAGACCCTGATGGGGGCTGCTGCGGCCACAGGAAGTGAGTGCAACAGTGTGGGAGGCCAACCTTACATGTGACTGAGTTACACTCCCCGGCTGGGTGCTGAGGTGCTCAGTCGCAGAAATGTGGCACCCTTCTTGGGTGCGAGGGTCGGTGTCTTGTGCATGGGTGTGTCTTGCTACAGCCCCATGGGTGGAGCTACGCTTACCTGTTCCTTTGTAATCTAACCCCTTGCCCTGTTTAGGGTAGAATCTTCCATGGAAGTGCCTGGTGTGTACCCCTTCTCTTACTGTGCCCTTGGGTGTGGCCTACCCAGGTGTCAGTCAACCTGCTGACAGTGGACACCATGAAGATAGACTCAGCCCCTGAAACCTGACCCCTTGCCTCATTTGAATAGCTTCTCCTCAATACAAGGGGTCAGCACGTGCTCTCGCTCGCTCTCTCTCTCTCTGCAGACCCTTAAGGTCAGAGGAGCCGTCACAGCGACCCCAAAGAAAAAGGTATTTGTGTCTCTTGTGGTTATTTCGTGCAGCCCAGTTAGCCCAGTTTAACTGGAGTGACCCCTGAGCCTTTTAGTCGCGAGAACAGAAACCCGGCACAGCAGAGTCCACGCAGCAGGGCCCAGTGTGGCCCACGGAGGCACTTTCCCCGGTGGACCTGGATGGTGTGGGGCAGGTGGGGTCCAGCGTCTTCTCTGACAAGAGGCAGGGCGAGCCACTCCATGTGGCTGTGTTGACAACTCTTCCTGCTCTTCGTGCCCTGCACACAGGCTGATCATCTGCGCCTAGCAGGCCCTGTGGGTGTGGCCCCCACGACCAGCTCTGCAGCCTGGAGTGGAGGTGGCCGCCAAAACTTGGAGGAGCTCCGTGACCCCGGTCTCTCTGAGCCACACTGTGGGAGGAGATGTGCCTGGGACAGGTCTCCCTGCCCAGCTGGGATGGTGTGGGCTGACGTCCACAGCCAGGAGGAGGCACTTTACTGGCAGAGGCCAGCTGGGGCCGGGCATCCAGTGGGCAAAGGCAGCTGGGTCCTCCTGCAGGGCGCTGCACACACAGGCCAGAACAGGGAGTTCCCAGGCACGGGCTGGCCAGCAGGGAGGCCATGCAACCGAAGGAAGCCGAGGATGGACGATCGGAATGGTGTCCAGCTCGGACCAGAGCCAGGGGACCTGCACCCCAGGAGGAAGGCGTGTGTTTGCACAGCTAGTGTCACTGAGATGCCAGCACCTCCTGCGCCTGCGCTGGGTGCCCTGTGCACATAGGCACGAGGCGTGTGACCACAGATGCGGGCACCATGAGGAGAACCTCTCTAGGACAGTGACAGAAACAGCCACACAGCCCCAGAAAGGGTGCCAGGGCAACCAACGTCCGTCAGACACAGACTCGATAAAACTGCTGCTGGAGACGCGGGTGCCCCGGCAGATGAGGGACGGTCGACCCCAGAGCTGGGCTGCGTGCACCAGGGGTCACCTGCCGTCTGCAGTTCTTGCCTGTTCCTGAGGGGTGCCTGTTGGAAGGCTGGAAGGAAAGGAGCCCCCAACAGGGGGCAGCCCTGCCTCCACCCTGCCGTTAGTCCAGAGAGACCGTTTGACTTTTGCGCCTGTGGTGCTGGGGACGGAACCCAAGGCCTTGCGCACATGAGGCAGGCACCCTACCGGAGCTACACCCAGCCCTTTTTATTTTGGGAGTTTGCTAAGTTGCCTAGGCTCGGAGAACCCATGATTCCCCTCCCCGGCCTCCCAAGTAGCTGGGTGACGGGCTGTGCCGCTGCGCCCAACCGAACCACGGGAGAGCAAGTGTCAGCCCAGCCCTTGGTAAGTGGCGGTCTGTCAGCACCCAGGAAACTTGGGCGCCCTGCACCTTGCCTCTGCCTGGCTCTCCTCCTGGGGCCAGGCTCGCTGTGGAGGCTCAGGCTGGACTCCAGGACACCCGCCCAGGCCTTTAGGATGGGCAGAGGGGCTCCTGCCTCCAGTGCCTGCCCAGGACAGGGAGCAGGTACTACTCGGGGGCCAGGGCAGACCTGGGGGTCTCTGGCAGAGGAAGGCCCCGGAGCCACAGCGAGGCTCCAGAGGCAGGAAGTCTGCTCTGGGCGCCTTCAGAGTGCCCTCTTCACCTCCGGCCCCGTCTCCTGTGCCTGCAGGGAAGTGGCTTCCTGGTGGGAGAGGAAGGGATGCCCTCCACGTCTGTTCTGCACCTCTGACTTCCCTGCCACGGGCAGCACTGGCAGCTGAGCATGGGTTTAGGACACGGGCCCCACTGGCTCTTCTCCACAACAGCTATACCCCCTGGGACTTTAGAGGGAGGGCACACAGTGGCAGGTGTGCGGCCACGTCCTGCCTTCCTCTGACCACGGCAGGCACTGCTAGTCAACCGCAGCACTTGGGAGCCCACAGACCCCTGAGTCATGCTCCAGGGACAGATGCCTTCGTCCTCATAGA